CATCTGACTTATGTCATCAGTTGACAAGCTTCTACCGGAGATGCGATCAGTCGTCTTTTCCAGCAGAGAGGGAAAAGGGAGCCAGGGATGGGAGGAAGAAGAACGATGGCTGTCTTTGGGTGGGGAGGGGAGGAGGAGGGAGGAGGGAGGAGAGACTGGGGGGAGGAGGAAGAGAATCTTGCTGAATGCAAGCCAAGAGAGGGCAATGAAGGGAGTGAGAGGTTCCGTTGCTATGGTTCAAGGTCCTCCTGGAACAGGTGGGAGGCAGAGGATGAAAATCGTTTGGAATCACCACTGTCTTCATAGACCTCTCTGGTCTTCTCCTTTCCCTCCCCTCCCCGCCCCCCAACCTCTACCCTACCTATCCCTCTTTCTTGCCCTTTGACCCCCACCCCCCTCCTCTTTGCTCCTTCCTCCATTCTTCTCCACTCCCCACTCGCTCCCTTCGTGTGCTCGGTTGCTACTTGCTGCAGCTTCTCTACCTTGAACTGACCTGCTCGTTTTACAAGGCAAGTCTTCGTTTATAACCGAAGTTTTCTTGCAAAGAATTCCTAAGACCTCCAGAGTCCTCATATGCACCGTGACGAATAAGGTAAATTTTGCTTCAGCAAATCTCTGGGGCGAAAGAGAGCAATGCGGTTGCAAAGATGGGCGGTCAAGATGTGAGTTCACACAACAGGCTATCGACTCGCTTGTGTCAAAGTTGGAATCAGTCGGTGTTGAGGACATACTTGCTGTTGGATCGAAGGTGATTTCTTCTTCTGAGACTGAATCGAGTTAATATGTTATGTTAGCAAAGGATGGGAGAAGCTACTCTCCGATTCTTGATGGTGAATTGCTAAGTTTCATCCTTTGTGGTGATGGCTGTTGGCAGGAACGAAGGGTGGAGAAAGTACAAGAGGTGAAGATTGCAAGGAGAGAGAGAAGAGAGAGGAGGAAGGAGAGGAGATGCTGGATGAAAGCGTTGCACGAGGTATGTTTCATGTTGATTGTGATGAATTGATGAGTGTGAAAACGAAAAGATCGAAAAATTCTCCAACAGTTCAAAGAGACGACAGCAAGAGTATGGGCAAGATATGTCAAGCTTCTGAACTGAAGTTTGAAGTGTTGCAGGAGATTACAAGCAGTGCTTGTGAGTTTATGAGGGCAGAACAGCTTTGATTCGTTTACAAGAATGCGAAGGATGGCGCAAGAATCAGTGAAAAGGACCTTTCTTTGCTTCACGCAATCTGTTCTGCAAACTCTCAGAAGGTGCTTCGTGGCTTCGTTGAAATGAGTGAAATGATGGATGATTCACTGCAAGATGACTTTTGTCAAAGAAGAGATGGTGCTGGCTGCAAGAAATCTTTTGACGAACGAGAATGAGGTCGAGAATTTCACTTTCTCATTCTTGTTTTGCTGACTTTGCACAGGGAAAGGAAATCATTCAGAACAGTATCAAGTCAACCAAACTGAAGGCAATGAAGGTCGTTTGCTGCTCCTCTCCTCTCCTCTCCTCTCCTCTCCTCACATCTCATCCAGTCAAAGCAAAATGAAGAGAAGAGTGAAAACAATCTGTCTTCCTGCGTCAGAAGAGCAAAGGTACTCACTCCGATCGCTACGTTTGTGGTGATGCTGTTCCCTCCTTCTCTTCAGATCGACTTGTGGAAAAGGTCCAACGTCGTCGTCTGTACTGCTGCAAGTGCAGTGAATGTGGGCAGCCGGTTGATGAGGGTGAGATAACGAGAGGGAGAAGGAAGAGGAGGGGGCAAGGACGGAGGAAAGTGGGAGAAAGAGAAGGCAAGGGAAGAAGAGAGAAGGTTAGGGAGGAGGCAGAGGACGAAGAGCTGAGGAGGGCAGAAGCAGTGAAAGGAAGGTTATGTGAGAGACGAGGAGGCGGTGGACAGCTGGCAAGGGGTTTTATTAGTGACTCGGTATAGGAGGAGGAATTGATCTTGACCTGCACAGGAACTTGAGGGCGTAATGGAGGAGGACGAGGACGAGGAGGAATTTCATCCTCTCGACTTCGTTATTCTCGATGAAGCTGCAGCCATGCTCGAGCCTGACTCCCTCGGATGTCTTCTGCATGGGAAAGTCTGCTGCTCCTGCTCCTGCTCCTGCTCCTGCTCCTGCTCCTGCTCCTGCTCCTGCTCCTGCTCCTGCTCCTGCTCCTGCTCCTGCTCCTGCTCCTCGTCTTGCCCTCTTTCACCATCCCTTCCCTTCCTTTCCCGACCTGACTTGCACCCAGTGCTCGAATCTGCTCCTGGTGGGCGACCATCTCCAGCTGCAGCCCTTCTCGAGGTGGAAGGAAGGGCAGCAGCGAGGATACAGGACCTCTCTCATGGAGCGACTGACGGAGGGTGGGGGGGGTACTCCCTGCTTCATGCTCGATGTCCAGTACCGCATGCATCCCTCTATCGCGGAGGCCGTGAGCCGAGAGTTCTACAGGGGCAAGCTCAAGACTGACTCGGAGACTGCGGTGAGACGATGGGAGGACGAAGTGATGGGAAGAGAGGAAGGAGAGGAGAGGAGGGAAGAGGGAAGAGGGAAGAGGGGAGAGGGGAGAGGGACATGAGGAGAGGGAAGAGGGAGAGAGAGAGAGAAGAGGAGAAAGGATGTGGTGGGGAGGGGGGGCGGGGGAGAATAGGGAGGGAGGATAGAGAGACAGAGAGCAATGAGAGGGGAGGAAGAGAGGAGAGGGAGGGGATGGGGAAAGGAGAGGGAGAGGAGGAGAGAAGATGTTGAGGCAAGGGGAGGAGAGAGAAAGGCAAGCAGGGGGTTGGGGAAGCAATGACAGGAGGGTTGCAGCAAGCTCGTTCCCACCCTCTTCCTGCCAGCTTCGTGCACGTCTCAGGGATAGAGAGCAAACCGTCGAACTCCTCCTCACTCATGAATGATATGGAGGCCGATGCAGGTGAAGTTTCTTCCTCTTGCCATGATCCTGCAGTAGCTGACCCGCTGTCCTGTGCGTGCGACACAGTCTTGGAGATTGTGCAGGCGATGATCAATTCTGGGGTTCACACACAGAGAGAGGTGAGGAGAGGAGGGGGGAAGGAGGGGAGGAGAGGAAAAAAGTGCGAAGAGAATATAAGAAGAGAAGTAAGAAGAGAAGACGAGACGAGAAAAGGCACGTGCAGTGGTGAGAAGAGCTGAGCAAGTGCTCAGGTAGTTGTTCTGTCGTTCTACAACGGGCAGAAATCGATCATCAGCAAGAAGCTTCTCAAGAAGAACTTGGGGGATGTGGAGGTGATGTCAGTGGACTCCATGCAAGGAAGGGAGGTGAGACGAGTGCTTTCATGCATCCCTCCACGTGGAGATTGACAATGATGAGATGCGATTCGATGTCATGATTCTCTTCTCGCACTCTGTTGTTCTCCAAACGTGTCTGTTCACTTCAACGAGCATGTTTTTGTTTCAAACATGTTGCTTCCACCGTGATTCTACTCCCTCGCATGCTAGTGTTCCAAACTCCTGCCTCTCCTTGCACATGACGCTCCCTGTCTTCCCCAGGCTGAGGTCGTCGTCCTGAGCTGCGTTCGCACACTTGCTGGTGGCAGCGTCGGCTTCCTCGCAGACAGGAGGAGGGTCAACGTGGCCATCTCAAGGGCCAGGCAGAGCCTGGTCGTCATAGGAGATGAGCAGGCGTTGATGTGACTATGATGCTTCTTGCTCGTCCTCTGTCTTCTTACTCCTACTCACAGGCAGAACAAGCTATGGAAGTCCGTGCTGTCCTATTACCGCTTCTTCCCTTCCTACCGCCATTTTCTGGATGAGTACAGGTCAGCCGTCGTGCCGGGTTGGGGGCAGGCATGGAAGGAGAGCAGGGAAGCGGAAGAGGCTCGGACGGCACTGGGTGAGTGGGAGCTTGATGACGGGGGAGAGGGAAAAGACGGGAAGAGCTCTTCTGGGGAATCATGCAGCAGCTCCAACGAGGATGGAGAGGAGGAGGAGAGTGAGGAGGAGGAGAACTTTGTCTCAGCTGATGCATGGGATGAATGAAGACATATCTAGACACCTTGTGATCTTCTCCTCCCCCCTACTTTCTCCAGCTCCTCCCCTCCCCGTCAACTCCGTCCCCTCCCCGTCAACTCCCCCTGACCATGGACTCGACCCCTTCCGTCAACAAAATTCCGACAAACTCTTGTAATTCCCCCTCTCCCCTCCCTGCACCTGAAGCATGCCTTACCGCTGACCGGCTTCCTGTCCTGGTCCGCTTCCAGCAGAGCTCCCCGACTGCCTCCCATCCCACCTCCCACTGTCTTTCGCCGCCTCCTGCTGGGCTCGCTCCCGTCCTCCTCCCCCTTCCCTCTACCTGCTCTCCGCTTCTAATGCATGCAAGGCTGTCGCGCCAACTCTCTGTCCTCCTCCTCCTCTGCTCTGCCCACAGACCGCTCGCTGCTCCTGGAGCCTGGCTCACATGCGCCGAATGCGGCAAGAAGGTCACAACATCGACCAGCATGCGTGCCATGACTTCTCCCTTCGCCCATGAGCGACGTAACCGCCCGGTCGGCAACGATCAGCATGTTCAGACGCAGGTGCTGGTCAACCCCCACGGCTCGTCGTTCGAGGTCTTGAGGACGAGGAGGGTTGTCAACTCCCTCATCTACGGCAGGAGAGTGCTTCGACACTCGTGGTACCCGGGGTTCGCATGGCAGTGCGTCGCCTGCAAGGGCTGCCTTGCCCACCTCGGCTGGTTCTTCACCCCTCAAGATAAGGAAGGGGAAGGAGACCCCTGGTTCGAGGATGAGATGGTGGAACAGGAGGGGGAGGAGGAAGAGGAGGAAGAGGCGGGGGGAGGAAGGGAGGAGGTAGAGGCGAAGACAAGGCAGGAGGAGGACGCAAGAGGGAGCGGGAGTGACGATGGCACCATCCTTCCGAATGAAACCAACTCGCATGCTCCGCGTCACGTAGCAGGGAAGGAAGACCTCGACGTCGCCGACATGTCGCAGCTGCCGGGGCTGTGGGTAGCAGAGATGGGTGCGAGCATGCGGCCTCATGAGAAAAAGCGGGAAGTGACGAGATGAGCAGGAAGCGAGAGCTTCTTTCTCCGCGTGGATCGACAAGGAGGAGAGTTTGTCGCCAGCACCATCAGGGGTGAGCGAGGATGAGAGAAAAGAGCAGGAGCTGATCCTTGTGTAGCGTCAGAGAAGAAGATAATTACAGGCAGAAGGGTCTGGACCATGCATCCTGCCGATGGGACCCTTCGACTTGTCGTAACTTTCTTGCTCACCATACCTGAGGGTGGGAAGTTTGATTTTGCCATATCGCAGAGCAGCGGAGCAAACGACGTCAGAGCCAGCCTTGTCGGGTTGTTGTCGATTCCCAGCTGCTCGAATCGCTGATTTTGAGGCCGAAAGCTGTATACGGAGGTTGTCTCCGACAGGCGTGCTGATCGTATGGGAAAGCAAGAATGCATCGTGCGTTTTCCTTCTCACCCTCCGCCACCTGCTCCTCTTGCTCCTCTTGCTCCTCTTGCTCCTCTTGCTCCACCTGCCTTTGCTCCACCTGTTCCCTCAGCTCCTCCTCACTTGCTGCAGGCTGCCAGCCCTTCGAAAGTTTATGCGATTGTTCCGCGTGGAGGAGACGGAGATAGTCGGACAAGACGATAGTTCAACCTCACATCATGCAACAACCTTTGAGGACGGCAGAGACGAAGATGATGCTGCAGGGTCCCTTCCTCTTTCTCCCTCTCTCTCTTCAGCCCTTCTGATCTCCGTCTCCAGCTCCAAGAGTCCCTTCTTTGGCATCATCTGGCACAGCGTCGAGCCGCTATTCCCCTCCGCTCCAGCGGCATGACTTGTCGGGGGATATGGACTGTACGAGGAAGAGGAGCAGGAAGGGAAGACGCAGCGAGGGCGGGGGGCTGGTGCGATCCTTGTATTCAGATACAATGCTTTCACTTCTGATGCTGTTTGTGGTTGTGAACTGTTACTTTCCTGTATGGGGGAGGAGTATGAAGAGAAGAGAAAAGTGTGGAGAGATAGGAGAAGGGTGAGTTTTCGTGACATTTCTGTTGCTCGAGGTTCACCACAGGCAAAATATAGAAGGACGAAAAGACCGGAAAGAAAACTGCCCTCATTCTTATTTCTTCCCTCACTCTTCTCCACTCCCTCCCTCCCTCCCTCCCTCCCTCCCTCCCTCCCTCCCTCCCTCCCTCTCTCCCTCCCTCCTCTCTCTTCCTCACTTCAAACAGAGCTGTCATTTGTCGGAGATATCTGTTGGCTACCCCCTGGGGCACCAGTTGAATCTACACCCCACCCTACGGAACTCCGAAGGAGACCCTTTGTGACCCCTCCTATTCCCATCCGAAGTATACATCGGATGAGGTATCGTCGGAGAAAAACGATCCACTACCGGTACATTTGATGTGCGACTACTCATACTACCCCTCCCCGAGTCAAATTTCGCGCTATGGGCGCAGTAGCGTCGGGAGGCTGCGGATGTAAGTTGCAAGCGAGAGAGGGAGAGGAGGAGGGGAACAGTAAGAGCATACAGGTTTTGAGAGGAACAGGGGAGGAGATGAGGTTGCGAGCATGGAGAGGAGAAGGGGGGAGAGGGGGCAGAGGGAGGAGAGCGGAACAAAGGGGAGGGGTAGATGAGGGAGACGGAGGTGGAGATAGAAGAGGGTAGTAGCATGGCGAGCCGATTAGAGAACAAGGTTGTATCCAGCCGTGAAAATTTGAGCCTTTGAGAGAAGGTTTAGATGGGAAGAGGGGAAATCGTTTAGAAGAACTCAGAACAAGACAAGAACATTTTATGGTTCTAACACTTCTGCTTCAGGTGAGGAATCTTCCAGGGATAAGCCGGCGGAGAGCATAAACGGCAACGTTGAAGCCATCAAAGTGCGTATCTTAGCTGACGCCCATGTGTCTGATTGGATCTCGTAAACAGATGAGACACGGTAACACGGCGCTTCATTCAGCTGCTGTGAGAGGAAGTGCGAATGAGATTAAAGCCTTGGTACTTGAAAGAAAGGCTGACGTGAATTGCCGTAAGTCTGAAGCTATGTGCGGACTTAACCTCCCTAAGGCCATGCTGTATCAGAAAATATCCATGGCCAAACCCCACTGCATCTCTGCGTATTGTCCTGTGCGGACTTTGATAAAGTCACGTAAGTTTTCGAATGATTCCGAACAACTCTCTTGTCTGACTGCTCTATCAGGATAGCAAAGCTTTTGGTTTCACTGGGGGCTCGAACTTACATCGAAGATCACCATGGTCTCTCCCCTTTGGATGTGGCAATAGACTGCGGAGCGAAGGATGTGGAATTGTACCTGAAGGAAGCCTCAGTAATTCTTGGTTCATTGACATGCCGTCCTCTCACAGATTTGCAGACCAGAACGTCCAAGGACAATCTTGATAGCCAGCGAAACGATTCACCTCTTCACAAGGAGAAAGCCAGGTTGGAGATCAACACTAGTCAGGAGGGGTTTTCTGCAACCCCGGAATCAAGTCCCATGACGGATCGCGCCTTGGCTCTTTCACCTGGATCCTATCAGTTCGGCGTTGCCTTCGATCCAACGCTGCCCCTTCCCACAAGTAAGAATTCATCTCTCCGCAGCAGCTCTGACATGCTCGGGTCTTCAGGCCTGCAAGGTCTACAGATGCAGGGAGTACTGTTCGAGAGAGTGCAAGGCGATCCTACAAGTTGGGATGAAATCTTCATGGCGCTCAGGTCTTGCATGCCAAAACCACTCTTTGCTACTCAGCTCAAACGCTCTCTCTTCCTTTGTGTCTGTTCCAGGCCAGTGCAGATGCCTCTCACGCTGGAGAGCAAATTGATTCCCAGAGAGATTGCTGGTGTGTATGAACCTCTGCACGCACAAATTGAAGTGACGATTTTGCCCCGTTCCTTCCAGAAAACTTGGAGGGATCTCGCTGGAAGCTGGTGCTGGTCAAGGTCGAGTCCTTGCTCTTCTGCCCCTTCTTGCATCTCACATGTTCCAAAACGACAGGGACCAGCTCACCGAAGTCGCGAAGGCGCGCGGCTGCTGCGATGTGAAGAGACTCTACAGATGGAAGAGATTGTTTTCTGTCAGGTCTCGACTCTGAGAGAGTAAGGGAGGGAGGAGACAGGGTCCAGTCAGCCATTCTGAGCCTCCTCTGCATCCAGGGAGGACAGGAATGCTATCTGCCAGCGTCGCTATGACCTGAGGGAGGAGTTTTTGTCTCGTGGAGAGCGATTCAGAGACTACGAGAGGACCATCAACCCTTGCGCTTTCAAGGTGCAGGATCAAGACTCCCTGCTCTTCTTTCCTCTTACTCCTCGCCTCGCACCCTCCTTCCCTCCACGGCTCTGAATCTCCTCCTTCCCACATGCTGTCCAACTTCTCCACCTCATCCGCCCTCCGGCGCGAAACCAACACTTTCCTATTTAGCTGCGGACGGTTCATGGAGGTGATTGGGAGCTCGTGGCTACAACGGAAAATGCACGGAATCTGTGGACCAAGAGGGTGAAATGAAGGATGGAGAGGAGGAAGGGATCTTGAGGTAACTCTGGTGTTCTTGGCAGATTGCAAGTGCACGGGAGGAGACGGCAAGGGAGGAGGAGTTTCTGCGCTGGGAGTTGAACGAGACTGGGTTCCGTATTGATTCTGTAGATCGACCGATCGAGATATAGCAGCACGAGAAATGAACCTCTACAAACACACTGATGCACTCTTCATAAACGGCATGAGAATCGTCAACTTGTCAAAACCATCTCTTTTTTCTTCCAGCACATACATGGAGCAAATGACAGACTTGTAGAATCCGTGACCATGAATCTCATGACTGAGCTACCCCTGCTGTCACCTCATCCTGGAAACCAGGAGGTTCGTGGCGCAAATCTGCTTGTTTTCACCTCTTCGTGATGCCGAGTTCAACAGGAATACAAAGTTTCGGCCCTCTCATCCTGCCATGATGTAATTCATCTCTGATACAAGGTTTATTTACATCATGCATTTGTTACAACATTCTTCTCTGTACTATTCCCCACTTTATAACACATCGATCCTGCCCCGAATTTCTTCCCTTCTCCCCTCGTCACTGACCTTTGCACCATATCAAAGCGAACTTTCGCCTCTTCCGACCATGCAGAAAGTAAGCGGCAAACGCAAATCCAACCATCAGGACAAACAGGACAGCGAAATTTGGGAGCTCTTGGATTGAAAGAGATCCCCCACGCTTCAAAAGCAGCATACCGTGCCTGGACATGCAGACCGGAATCGTGTAGGCGAGATGGCCCAGCCATGTCGTGGAGAAGACGATCGATCCAAGGCAGTACAGAGTCGTAAAGACAATGTTTGCATCCACTGTGAAATTCGCGTAGTAGTTCTCGCAGAAGTGCATGAAGACGCGGGCAACCATCAAAGTTCTCAGGAACTGGCTGATAAGCCTTCGGCATCTCAAAGGCAGATACTGCCACCTGATGATGATCCACCAGCCAAGGAGGATAAGCACCACTCTGACGTAGACAAAGATATCTGTCATGCGATTCGAAGGACCCCTTCCCCATCGGAACAAAGCCATCGAGATGTTGTAGAACGTTCCCAAGAAAACCAGTACTTTGAAGAAAACAAAATCGGAATCGAGGAGCCCAGACTCCATGAAGTACTTGCGATATCTTGACTCTGTTTCTGGATCCGGAAACTCGTTAAATGCCGTCAGCTGTACCCGTTGATCGGGCGTCCTTGCCATCACTCTCGCTCTGCAGATTCCATTGGTTTGCAGCCCAAGGATCCTATCTACTTCATCAACTGTTTCTCTGTTCGCATGAGGAGTATCATACGAAATCGCAAAGTGGCGATTTGGCATTGAAGAGTTCAACGAGAGAGCGGGAAAGAGTTAGATGTGTATGGTATCAAAACGCACGCACACCGTCAAACCATCATACGCCACCACGAAACTGAACCACTTTGAGTGTAAGGCTTTGAGCGCCTTGAGTTCCAACAGATCTTTCGAGTTACCTCAACACCAAAGAGAACGGTCTGTGCGCCGCAACACTAAAACGCCATGTCTGCTCGCTCTCGCCGTTTCGCCATTCGTAAGGTCTCTCGCATCCTCAGCCACCGACGATAGTCGGACCGAAAGTGCCTGGACCCCACCCCACTTCCGGGTGTTCCTTCAATTAAAAAACTACCCCCACCCCCAAGAATATCGCACTCTGACCCCACCCTGAGAAAATCCCTTCCGCCCCCGCCACATTCGTCGCCACTACTGTGCCCTTCCTACCAGGTGTCGGATCGAACACTTTGTTACGAACGCCTGTAATTTTCACTTCAAATTGAAAAATCTCTATTAGTGTTTCAAACTTTATACAAAAACTTCATCCGCATGAACCAAGGAGTGTCCGCCGACCTATGACTTTTCCCCACCACCGGTACTGACCGTTCCCGCTACGAGCCACCCTACCCCAGAACTAGGGGATATGAATTTACACCCTCTCTCACCTCCACCCCGTCGAATAGATCATGACAACCTCGTTGAGGTGACGCCCCTCGAGGACCCTCGGGTCGCATGACCCCCTTCCACCTAGAGCTCTCTAGCTTTTTCACCACCCCCGCGTCCCTCGCCCCTTGTGGCGGGAGATCGCCGAGCAGATACCATGCCGTGACTGTTTTGTTGTATTTGCTTTGAGGTAACGTGACTGAAGGCTTTCGTCCAGGTGCACGTCTATGATCTCGTGAGTGATGACATACTAAATGTGTTTTAAAGAGAAATATCACGTTACTGCTTGGTGATCATGTTATGAAAACCATGACCATTGAAAAGTCACGTTACTCCGGAAAAAAATGGAAAAAAACCTGGGGACATGAGTTACAAGGCCCGGATCAGAGATGGTCACGCTGATTGGTGCGATGTAGCAGATGGGCAAGAAGGTTATGCAGCAAGAAAGCGATACAGACAGCATTGAGAGAAGAAAGAGAAGAGAGGTAGTACACGCCATAATGTCTTGTACAGGAAAGGTCAGGTTCTGGGTCAGGTTGGTCCATTGTTGTCTATCTTGTCGTTGAGTCTTTCACCATAGTTTTCTGCAGAGTTTTGTATTTCGGTTGATTGCCCGAAGACGATGGGGAAACTGCAAGATTTGTTGTCTCTGTGTGCTAGGTTTTGCAGGCTACTACTTCTCAAATATCTTTATGGCTCGCGCAAGACATAACCTGCATCGTACAACAATTGAAAATCGCCATCAAAAAGAAAAAAAAATCGAGGTTATTTCTCACGCTAGTTGGAATAACAAGATATGAAACGTGGACAACGAAGTTGCTGCTGTGTCTGCACTCATTTCTTGTTCGAACGAAAGTGATACTTTACATCTCTGTCACTTCGTTTCGGAAAATTAGTCACTGCAGAGAGAAGTTACTCGCTAGCAGTCTGCTTGTTGTTTATCTAAGGATTTATTGATTGTGAAGCGATATATTTCTTGGAACACTGCCCATGCTGAACTGGAGTGGTACATTGGACATGGTGACCTTTTCTCTGTCACGTGCACTGTGTGTGCGGTATGAGCCATGGTCCGGTGTACCACATTGCTCCGACTGTGTAATGGCAAGACTGTTCCATCTGTCGTATAAATTTCCTGAAGGGCGATGAGGTCAGTCGCAATCATCCCGGCGTCGAGCGCAGCATGTTCCAAGGCTTCTATCAACTGATGAATTCCTCAACGCTGACAAAGATACTTTGCTGGTAGCTGGGAATTCTGTGAAGTGTTGCCAATATCTTTTCTTGCCAATATCCTTTCCTCAACCGTTCGTATTCGCGTCCCTGACGAGTCTGCAAGGGTTTACGGTCGACACCGACGCCACTCAGAATTTGAAGATTCTGACTTGAGTTTAAGTGACGTGCCGGTCACGCGGCGGCTGTGGGGCTAGTGCCCGGCGGTGCAGGTTTTCAGTTAGGTGGAACTAATGATGTGGGAATTCATTAGAGCTTTCTTTCTTTGACACTCCAACGGTACCTGAAGGATTTGTTATATCTCAATCAAGAAACGACGGTAGAACCTTGATCAGACATTCTTGAGGATCTGATCGGGAGAATCACTATTCAAAAGGAGGCACCTGAGCTCACCATTAGAATGATACAGATATACTGACCTACTCTTCTCTTCTCTTGTTCTCTTCTCTACTTCGTGCATATCCTACAAGGCTGCGAGCCTTTGCACCTACAAAATTTGTAACCGAAGGTCTCGGCGCTAAAAAAACAAAACTCTCTAAAAAGAAATCTGAAAACCTCTTCCATTTGAACAGGAATTTGTTACAAGGTTCTCAGTCAACTCCAACTTCGTTGAACAATTCGAGCAGTCCGCGCACCAGCATCTTTCCTTCATGCTCCGCCCTCTCAAGGTATGTTCCCACTTGCATCTAGCCGGACTTTTCACGTAACCATCAGTTTTGAATGTTCATAACAGCATGCATCGCATCGCATGCATCGCCAGGGCGACAGCATGCATCGCCAGGGCGACAGAAGTGGAAGGAAAACAGCCCCCCCAATCTGCACGGAAACAGAAGAGGAGCGAAATTAAAATGACATATCGGTCTTCTTTGACCTGAGGTGATGTGCATGAAGTTATGTTAGGCTATATTGCATGACACTCTTCTCAGCAACCAGCCATTCCTCCAGATGTGACGGTGGCTGGGAAAGTTACTTAGGTTCAGGTTCTTCCCGAATTGTGAACACTCCTCTGTAGGGACTTAATATTCACTGAACTACGTTACCTTACTCACTGAATTTGCAGCAGTTTTTAAGCAGTGGTGCTAACATGTTGAACTTCAAGTTCTGTGTATATTATTCCGTCAGGTAACATCTCAACTTAATGTTTTTTCTATCATCCTTTTGAACAGAGTTGCAGGATGCAGAATTTGTTTTCCTCAAGAGGCTTCATCTTCAAATCTCAGAATATTTGCAACCCAACATAAAAACAGAGTAATATGCTTAAATTGTTCCAAGATTGATTTCCTTCGTATGCACGACTGCAAAAATCCTTACAGGTCAAGAGAAAAATTTCAGTTTTCAGATTGATCAGTATTGACAAGAGTCGAGGAAAGGGACAGCAAGACAATAAAATTTTTGAGGAGCAGATGATGAAGGATCCAAGAGGAAGGAAGAATGATCAATTGTGTAGGAAGGACACAGATGCTCCTGGGCAGAGGAGACTCAGAACAGAGATCAGTTTTTGAAGGGTCACGCAACACAGTGCATTCTCAGTTTAGACAGGTGTCTAAACATCGAGTTGGGTGTGAGGAAGTGTGAGACTTTTCCAAGCATCACCTCTAAAAGCGGTCACGATCATCTCATGCGTTTGTGCTGATGAGAAAATGGAACCGTGGTGTATATTTACATCCAGCATTTCAACAACCCTCGGACTTTGTCAATTCTTTCCCGGGCATCGCCGGGACAAACAGCTAGTCATAAATAAAGATAGCAAGCACCAGAGCAAGCACGCTGTCACATAGGAACAGAGCTGCTTGAACTTGTTGCAGTCGCAGTGTACAACCTTCACCGTCGTGTCAATGATGATGCAAGGAAAGAAGAGCGGAAAGTGGCGACCTTTCCATCGAATCCTGCTGCAGCCTTCCATGGAGTACCCTCAACGGACAAACGCTCGAGTAGATGTTTGAGTGTGCCTTGCGCCGGCGCGAGCACGAATAAAGTCATCTGGGCACCAGCTTCAATGACAAGTAGGCACTTGGCTCTCAGCCTCGGCATGAAAGGAGACGGATGACGAAGAACTGCTGCGTCTCGATTGGAACAACATGACCAGTGAAAGCCTGTTCTTCACATGTCCGAGACTTTACTCTTCACAAACATCAGCCGCATAACTGTGAAGGGGTTTGGCTACCTCCATGCGTGCCTCAAGAAACGATGTTCTTCGGCATGTGACCTCTCCTCTCTAAGGATCTCCCTGACTACAAGATAGAAATCCCTGCTACTTCTGCTTGCATTTCCTCCTCTCCTCTCTTCCATTCGTAATCCTTTAGCGCCCCGCTGTCTTCGATGGGTTTGATCTCAAACCTTGCAAGCTCCTCAACCGGAATCAGGAAAACAACCTCCACCTTCCACCCCCCACCTTCCGGGATGTTAAGCGCTTTCAGAGCCTTCAAGAAGAAAGAGAGTTTGAAAGAGTGTTTCTGTGCGATCGTTGCTTGTACAAACATCACCTTCCGCTTCTCTTGGTCGACCATCACTGCGTCATATCCTCCCTGAAACGCGCTAATGGGCCTCAAGCACGTATTTTGCGCAGGAAGCGTCTTGATGCCTTGCAATGATGAGAAATTCACCACAAGACATCGATCCCAGCTCTCGGTCTGTCTCGGGCCACGGTAAGTCACACTCAACCCTGTTTCTTCCATCTTCTTGAAGAAAAGCATCTCGAAAAGACTTTCCTTCACGCCCGGATTTCCAATGCCATAACTAAGAGCCAACTGCCTCAAAGTCGATTCTGCAGTACGCGCCGCAAGCGTACTTGCAACATACTTGCTCACTGGCAACCAGCTTCTCTTACTTCCAAACTCGACGTATGCTATCAACCGGTTGATAGCTTGCGGCGAAAACTCTCCTACGTTGCCCTGGAGGACGGTCTCCAGGTTCGTACCACTCTCAATGGCGTCGTCCAATGCCTTTTTCACATTGGCCACGGTTGTCTGGAACATGAACCGACATGAGCCCCCGGCGAGATAGTACTTCCTTGCGACCCGCTCCTCTCTCGTCTCTTGCCCATCCCATGTCGTGATTAGCATCCATCCTACCTCCACATCCATCTCCAAGAAGGGCTTCACTTGCTCATACAGCTCGTCGTGCTGCACCGCCTGCAGGTACTCATCGAGCGTCCAGGAAACAACCTTATGCGTCTCAAGCTTCATTTCTTGATCCCACTCTATGTACACCTTCCCCCGAGATGACATCGATGTTACGACAGCCAGCCGTCGATGTTGCTGGTCTGCATCACGCCATACCAGACACTCCGATACACGCCTTGATGAGTTTCTTGCTGTCTCAGGAAACCATCTAGTACTACCACATGCTTCTTGCCCTCGCGCCCTGCAAAAGCCTCCCGTCACCCCTCAGCTGCAGAGCTATACAAGATCTTGCAAAATCTTCGCCTCCCGTCCACCACTTGCATGCAGTAGATGTGTACAGGCTTCAGCCTGAGAAAAGTCACCATCCACTCTTTCATGTCCAGCGACAGGCAGAACGCTAGCGTCGTAGTCGTCTTCCCTGTACCTGGCGGCCCTTGGATCCAGCCCAGAGCGCCTTGCTCCAGCACTCGCTCTCTCAGGAAGCTCTGCTGCTTCGTGAAGGCTTCTCGGCAGTAGAGAAAAAGCTCCTGGTTGCTGACATGGCTTGCATCCATCGATAAGTACGAGCTATCGAGGCGGAAGCACTTTCTCTGCTCGCAAAAGCCCATGCGATCAAGCCCCGCCTCTGACTCCTCCCAAGCTATCCCTCGCTCTACAGATGACGGAATCTGCCTCAAAACCAGGTTCTCCTTGCGGAGCTGGGCCTCCTCCTTCTTGCGAAGCTCCTCCTCCTTTTTGCGAAGCTGCTCCTCTCTCTCCTTGCGAAGCTGCTCCCTCTTCTTGCGAAGCTTCTCCTTCTTGCGAAGCTCCTCCTCCTTTTTGCGAAGCTCCTCCTCCTTCTCCTTGTGAAGCTGCTCCCTCTTCTTGCGAAGCTGCTCCCTCTTCTTGCGAAGCTTCTCCTTTTTGCGAAGCTCCTCCTCCTTCTTGCGAAGCTCCTCCTCCTTCTTGCGAAGCTCCTCCTCCTTCTCCTTGTGAAGCTGCTCCCTCTTCTTGCGAAGCTCCTCCTCCCCCTCCTCCCCCTCCTCCCCCTCCTCCCCCTCCTCCTTGCGATGCGGATCCTTGTTCCTCTTGGGAAGCTGCTTCTGCTTCTCGCGAAGCTGGTTTCTCCTCCCATGATTGTGTAGCTGATCCAACTCTACAAAATGGTCTTGGTGGGCCTCCCGTTGACCACTTGCTTGTGGGGCCTCCTCCTCAACCTCAACCTTGGCTCGCTCCTCCCCCGTCTCTCGCCTTGTTCGACGAAACGTGTTCTGGAACACTTAATATTTTTGCAAAAATCCTGATGAAATTTGAAAAATCTTCAACCTTGTTCCATTTAGGGGGTAGGTTGTGGGCGCGCCTCAGAGTAATGAAAGCGACTTTAGATCGCTTTAGATTTGAAGTAAGAAGTTTAAGTTCGGCGCAAAGTTTCGGGAGTTGGATAGTTTAGGCCCGGGCCGGGTTCACTAAGGCCGGACGTTAGCGCAAGGGGTAAATTTAGGTTGTTTTGCACGGGCATTCAAAATCGCTGTGTACAATAGAACGTGGCTGACAATGATGGAATACCGGACCTCGCTCCGAGAGCAAACTTCAAGCGGCAGCACAGCGGAAGATCCGAGGGCATCGTAATGCATATGCTCAGCACGTCCCGCCAAAGGCCTTTCTTCCCATCATCGCCAGCACTGATGGCCTCTTGCAGGACGATGCGTTGCGCTTTCTGTGGTGGCTGGCGGATCGCTCGGCGAACTTCGGAACAAGGAAACGGCAGCGCTGGATGGTCTCTCGGCCTCGCAAGACGTCTCAGGTGAGCCGAGTGATCCGACTTGCAAACGCATTCGGTCCAGGATCTTCCGTCAGCTCAAGGCCTCCCTGTCCTACGCTGCCATCATCGCGGGTGCATCCCGGTATGCGTCTCATTCCTTCGGCGGCGGCCACCGCGACATCGCTGGCATGGCCGCGCGGGGGACTTGTCCTGCGCGCCGTTAAGTGAAGGTATCAGTTAAGTTTGGGGGACAGCAGTCGGCAGGATTGGGTTTGGTTCTCGCTGTCTTTTCTCTTCTCGCCGTTTGGCCTGTGCGACAGTGTCAGCGGCCCGGTCAAGCCTCCTCGACTCTCCTGATTGTCCTCGTACTGATTTTTAACTTAACTTTGAGTAAAAGAACGTGGCATTAGCGGCGTATCGAGGCCCGGTGGCAAGTTTTTTTTCACGGTCTCCATTCAAGTCCAATTTGAACAGGCGGTAACGCTCACAACAGTGCTCGGGAAAACATCTTCATCTGGGGGAAAACAAGGTATTGTTTTCCCCCAGAAATAGCCGTTACGGAATATTATTCAAATTTTCCTAACCGCTAATGCCACGTTTTTGAGAAATTGTGAGGGAAAACAAATACATTTTATTCTGCACCCCTTGCGCTAACGTCCGGCCTTATGGGGAGGTTCTTTCAGTTGTGTAAAAGTTCAAGTTTATTGAAGATCGAAGAAAGATCTAAAGTTGAACTCAGGCTTCTGAGGGCAAACTACGTATTCGTTGATAACTTGTAGATCATCATCGCGGCTTCAAGGCCCGGTGAGCCGCGGGGCCCTGAGTGACTGGCGGCAGCCTGAGGGCCTGGGCCAGTGACGGCCGGGCCGGATCGGACCGTGCCGTACTCGTTACCGTACTAAGTTACGACGGTTCCGATCGGACTGGGCCGGGCAGCGGCGCGGGCGGGCCGCCGGCTTCAGTGAAGGCTTCAAGGCTTCTCGGCCCTCATCGACTCTGTCGGCGCCGATCATAGTACTATAGTACCGTAGTACCGGCCCAGCGCTCAGCTGTTGACTAAACATTTACTCACTATTGCGACTGTGGGCAGTTAAAATAGCTTTTTTAAAAGTGAAGGTTCATCCTTCCGCCTTGGGCAGGGCCGTGGGTTGTCACTAGGATTTGTAGGGGTACACGTTGATGTTTTGATTGGAATAAGGTGGGGTCATTGTAGGGAAAAGGATGGGTGATCAATCAATACAAGCATTCTGGTCTCTTCAACGTAGGGGTAGGGTCTCTGTTCTTGGTGCTCGCAAATGCAGGTTTCTGTGTGGGGAGGGGTGCGCGCGCTTGCCATAGCGTATGGCAGCTACCGCCTCCTCCGCTTCTCAGTCTTTGCCTACAAGTGCATAAGAAGAGCGATCATCCTCAATCCCATCCCGGGACCCAAGGCCTCCTCCTTCTTCCTTGGAATGTACAGTACCTTGAGAGGCAGCTCCCCATGCTCCTGCGAGCTAAATTGGACTCGACAATACGGCAAGATTGTCTGCTACAGAAGCTTTGGAATGAATTTCAGGGTGCTAATCACCGATCCTGAGGATATGAAGTATGTCCTTGTCACCAACCCCAGGCAATTCCCAAAACCGACTCGAGAGATCACCCTGGTCCGTAGGGTCGCAGGAGAAGGATTGCTGGTGATTGAAGGCGATGACCATGCTCGACAGAGGAGAATCATCAGCGAAGCCTTTCACTTCGAAGCCATCACCAAGATCTACCCCGTCTTTGTTTCTGTCACTGAGAAACTTGTGAAAAAGTGGGAAAACCTCTGTGCATCTCAACCCCAGGGGCAACCCCTCGTGCTGGACATCAAGAAGGAGGTCTCTCATCTTACCTTGGACGTGATTGGACTTTCGGCTTTCGGGTTTGACTTTCAGTCGGTTGAGGGAGGGAAATCTGTGGTCCGAGATGCCTTCCAGGATATCATGCCAATGGGGGGCCTGAGCCTTCGAACAATCATTCTGCGGATGTTTCCAATTCTCGAGTATCTCCCACTCCCCATCATCATTCAGGCAAACAAAGCCACTGAGACTCTTCGCGGTACTGTGAGGAGAGTGGTTCAGGAGCGTCACTCCCAGATCAAGGCTGGCGTTGCTGTCGACGACGACCTACTGAGCCTTATGATCAAGGCTCGAGCAAAATCGGGTCAGGGCTTGACCGATGCAGAGCTTGCAAACAATGTGCAGACCTTCATGCTTGCAGGACATGAAACGACTAGCAATGCTTTGAGCTGGGCTCTCTTCCTCCTGGCCAAGAATCCAGGATTCCGCGAGAAACTCCGAGGTGAACTGTTCCGGAAGCTCAAAGGAAAGTCGCCGACGATGAGGCAGCTTCAGGACAAGGAGTTTCCACTCCTGTTCGCCACCATGAAAGAAACTCTCAGGATGTACCCGACAGCTCCTCTCACAGTCAGAATAACAACACGAGAGGAAGTGTTGTCCGGTTACAAGATCCCAGAAGGCACTACGATCGTGCTCTCTCCCTTCGTCCTCGGAAGGCATCCTGATCTCTGGGAGAGACCGGATGACTTCTGGCCCGAGCGATGGCTTGGAGCTAGCTCTGCCAAACCTGAAGCACATCCCTTTCACTGGATTCCATTCCTCTCTGGCTCCAGGCAATGCATCGGCAGGGGCTTTGCGGAGAAGGAGATGATGGCAACCTTGGCCACGATTGTGCAGAACTTCGATCTGGATCTCGACCCTCAATCCCCCGAAGTCACGCCGGAGTGGAAGATAACGATGTATCCTTCACACCTCAACATGATTGTCAAGAGAGTAAGCAGCCCAATTCTCCGTGAGATGCTGGTGTGAATATACAAGCAAGTTAACATTTTGTTGCGGGGAACCAGAGCAAGATACAACGATTTGAGTAGCACGGTTTCCCACGGTTCGCCTCATCTTTTCGCGTCTCATCCAAGCTTGACCTTGCTCTTCTACTTCAACATCCCATCTGACTGATGTCGTTTCCCCATTCAGATATCCCTTCCTCATCAACAAAGCTCCTGGCACCGCATAACTCACAAGAGGAATCTTATCTATTCAACAACTCCGAAAGCCCACCTTACGTTCAATCCCTCATTGTACTTCTCAAGGCAAACATCTTCACGGACCGTTCATCGTGACAAAGTTTACGTGGTAGATAACTTCATAAGGGACACAAGACCTATTCCAGAGTCGGGTAGAATTTACGAGGACAATCAGGAGTGGGGGGGGTAGAATGGGTGGGGTGGATATTGTATTGGGGTAGGGGTACCCATTTTCCCTATTTTAATTTGGACTTGGAACTGGAGGGGTGGATACCCAAAGTCCATCACAGGGTGGTCCAAAGCATACCTGCTTCAGAGCTTCAGAGTGTATGTCGGAAGGCGAGAGGAGGACGCAAGATGGGAATGGCCAGGGTGAACGAGGCAGAGTTGAGGAGGTTGGAGGAGAGTCCTTTCTTTTGTATGTATGCATGAGATGATGTTTGTACACTCATTGCTGTCATCTTTGAGGTTTGTTGACGTAGGACAGGGCAAGCATTGAAAACACGTCCATCGAGGGGTACAAACTAACAAACAAAGCGCACTAGATCGTTTCTAAGGAGAGCAATCGAGACACCAGAGAGTTTTCCATGAGCCATGATCTATGTGCTGAGTCTTGTACGAGCAGGGAGATGGTATTCGGGCCTTTCATCAGCCTCTTTCATCACTTCAGGGAAAGCATCAAGGGCTCTGAGGTGAGGCTCAACAATTGAACTTATCTTGACAAGCACGATGAAACCTTCCTGGCAGATCACTGTGACAATATCTCTATGCACTATCTACTTGCTTGCGAGGTGACCCTGCCTTATCAGTCGCTCCTTCGTATCTCATCCCGTTGGTTTGCTCGTGCGTAGGTGGCTAGCACCCAAAGAGGTAGAGGACGATAGAGACAAGAGGAAGAAGAAGCAGCTGGAGCCCTTGGTGAAGGGCAAGGCGTACACCAAGGACGAGCTCTTCAAGTACAATGGCTCGGTGAGAACAGCATGCTCTCATCGTTTTCGCACATATTCTGACTCGCCAACGTTCTCCTCCGCGGTTCCCTGGTTCAGAACCCATTGAAGCCCATCCTCATCGGCATCAAGGTCATGTTCTAGATGGATCTTGCAGACGGTGAGCGCAGCTGCAGGGAAATGTGTACGACGTGACTAAGGGAGGAGGATTCTACGGTCGGTCGCATGCTCCCTTCTCGCTTGTCGTGAAAAGATCTCACAGGCCCTGGGGGACCGTACGCTGCGTTTGCTGGTAGAGATGCATCGCGCATGCTCGGGAAGGCACAAGTGAAGCCAGGTGAGCAGGGAGGAACGGCAGGGGGAAGGTACAAGGAGAGAAAGGAAGAGGGAACAATCGTGAGGCACGAGGGGACGGCAGCACGCAGACAGGGCAGGGAAGAAGGAAGGAGAAAGAGGTAGGGGGAGGATGAAGGAGGAGGGAGGAGGAGGAGGAGAAGGAGTGCAGGCACGAGGGGGCAGAAGCAAGGAGGAATCTCCACATCGGAAAGCTCATGGGAATGCTGCAGATGAAAAGGATCCTTCCATTGATGACTTCACCCCGAGCGAGATCTCAAGGTGAGGGCGGTTGAGTTCACTGGCGGTGGTGCTGAAGAGGAAGCAGCTTGAACGACTGGGAGAGCTTCTTCTCTGGCAAATATGAGCTCGTCGGGACCCTCAAGTAGATGTTTCCCAACAGGTCCTGTCCTCTGCCATGCAAGAGGCGGTTTTGTATGTCATGGAATTATGAGAACCACTGGAACATGATCGCGCCTTTACTCGACAACTTTACATCTTCCTCGAGGAGAGGTAGCTATGTAGGAGCTACCCTCAGCTCACCCGTGGGGAACAGGCAGTCCTGAGATCATGGGGCTACAGCATGTTTCACCGCACGAAAAGCGATCGCGTCCCACCATGAAAGAGGAGGACTTCAGTTTGGCGACATCTCCTCAGCTATCCTTGTCCCTCTTCTGCTGCTACTCGTCAACCTCCATCATAGAACAAGTGTTCAACATTGTAGCATCCTTTCCTGCACCCCAACTCTCTACATTCGACGGAGTTCCTCCTCCTTCCAACTCATCCTGCTGGCCACTCTTCCTCTTGCAGGGCCTGCCAAGCTCTTGTCGCTGCTCGAAGACCAGGTCCCTGGCTTGAATCTCCAATAGCATGACACCGCTCCCCTCGTTGTAGACAGTGTGATACCTGATGCTCAAGCCGTTGGGCAAGTCGAAACCGTCCTCAATGATAAAGTCCCTCGACCTCAACCATCTCGTGATCATCATCTTCATCCTCAGGTATAGTTGCTGAACACAAGCAAGTTGGATCCCAGTCTTACCTTCCTGCTTTCCATGAGTACATTGAACAGCCTCTTCAGATTCCTGCTGTCGGGGATGGAAATCTCTCCGGGTGCCAAGGAGAAGGCGATGAGCTCGTCCAAAGGCAGGTAAGACTTCTTACCCACATGCTTCTCCTCCGTGGTCTGGAAGCGGTTGCACCTCCTCAACCAGTTGGTGCACCTGCAGCAGGAGCTGAGCCGCTCGTCCTCGTGGCAGGTCTTGCACAGCGAACTTATGCACTCCCAGGTGAAGGTGGTCTTCAGTCAGCTAAGCTCGAGGTTGTGAAAGAAGGTCTGCACGCGGTGGCTCCTGCTATCGTCACTGGGCTCTAGCAGCATACCACAGATCACACAGATGTCATAAGCCCTTAAGAAGCTGGGAAACAGCCTGGTGTCCAGAAACGTCACTGTCTCAGCCTCCTGCAAGGCAGCCTCCTGCAAGGCAGCCTCCTGCAAGGCAGCCTCCTGCAAGGCAGCTTCCTGCAAGGCAGCCTCCATCGTACTCCTTGGAACTTTTTTTGGAATCATGGAGACGAGATCAAGAAAAAGGGTTGACACTCCTGAACATGGTAGGACGGTTTTGCACAACTCTTCTGATGTTTTGGGAACGAAGCATACGGACCAGGATCTGAATGGCATCAATACCATTGGTGAAAACAATGATGTCAGTGTGCAAAATTTTGACAGCAGTGTTCCCACCGGTGCTACCCGCGTTGTCGCTATCAAGGCGACTCCCGTCTTGGACCCTTTCCTGGACGCCCTGAAGCTGACCCCTACCGGTCAGTCTTACCTTGGCAAGCTCAAGGACATCCTGAACTGCAACAAGTTCAAGGCTGCCAATGTCGACAAGATGGTGGCCGAGATCTATGCCGACTTCCCTGGAACCGACATCGAGGTCTTCTGCAAGCCTGGGATGCCCAAGGTCAGCTTCCTTGAGGCTAAGAAGGAGGAGCAGACTCTGGTCACCCGTCAAAGATGGGTGCAGATATTTGCGGCCTGGTGTGAAAAGCCTGATGGTGAGAGGCTGATGGTGAAGAGGCTGATGGTGAAGAGGCTGATGGTGAAGAGGCTAGTCTGATGATGAAAAGTCTGATGATGAAAAGTCTGATGATGAAAAGTCTGATGATGAAAAGTCTGATGATGAAGAGGTGAAATCCACCAAGAAGCAGTCCAAGGGCAAGAACAGCCATCTTTCCGAGGAGGAGATCAAGTTTCGCAAGGAGAAGAAGGCTTTCTTGGAAAGGAACCCAGGAACCCACCGTGTGCAGTTCCCTTTCGACAACCCACTTCATCCCTCGAGCAAGGAATTGAGCGTCTTCAGTCACGCTTGCAGGAACAAGGAGAGGATGTCGATTGTCAACAATGCGATCATGTACGTGCTGTTGAAGATGGGGGACGATCACTTTGAACTGAGTGACACTGCCAGTGTCTTGCGGGCTATGAGACCTACACAGACCTCTGCCTCCCCTGCAACGCCGGGCAGTACCAAGACACCGATCTAAAGTGCAAGAGCTGCGACGTCAACGCCCAATCCTCCGCCCTTAGCATAGGGGCATCCAACTGCAAGTGCAACAAGGGATATACTGGAGATGGCCTGTCATGTAGTGCCTGCGGCTTTGGGACTTACAAGGATATCATTGGATCCACACAATGCATATCATGCTCTCAAAACTCCACAACCCTGATCGAGGCGGCCACTTCCTCGATTGCAAGTGTAAGCCAGGGTTCTACGGCAAGGATGGCAACATATGCCTCATATGCCCCGAGAACCACTACAAGTCCGAGAGAGGAAACCGGCCTTGCACCCCTTGCCCAGCAAACATGGTATCATCCAGGGGTAGCGTATCCTCAGATCAATGCATATGCCCGTCAAGGTACGGCATGGCCTACAACCCACAGACCATGGGCTACGACGACTGTGGCTGTCCAATGGGATACGAGGGGTTTACAACATCCGACTGCAACCCTTGCAAGCCGGGTTACTACAAGGACTATGACGGCTTCGGCTCTTGCACCCAATGTGGCACCGGTCTATTCACCAACGACTATGGCTCGATCAAGTGCAGGTGTGAGGACAATAAGTTCGAATTCGAGGGTGTCTGTTACAACCCATACCCTGAGTTCTTTGACACCTTCCCAAGAGCCTGCGCAGGCAATTTGGTTCCTTTGCAAGGATCTACCTTTGGCTGTGTCTGCATGGCAGGAACCGTCGATTTCAATGGGTTCCTAGACTGTAGGCCCTGTGGTAGGCACATGACTTCTGATATCAATTCAAGAACATGCTACTGTGTAGCGAACTGGTACATGGATCCCAACGGCGAGTGCCAGATGTGCCCGTCAAACAAGGCTTCACCCGCCAAGTCCACCAGCGTCAACGACTGCTCCTGCCAGCAGTGCGAGGAGGGAGGGCAGTGTGTCCCCTGCGCATACCCTTGCCCGGCGAACAGCCACTTCGACATCAAGCCCTACAGCATCGACGACTGTCTTTGCGACAAGGGATACTACAAGGACGGGCTAGAGTGTAAGGCCTGCGGGATAAACTCTACAACTTCTTTCGCAGGAGCCACGGACCCGTCCTCTTGCGTCTGCTCCCCGGGCAACTACCGAGACTCCGGGGTCTGCAAGCCATGCCCTCTCTCCTTCTACAAATCATTGGAGGGAGACGGGGCCTGCACCCCTTGTCCCACCAACACCTTCACCTCCGCGGTAGGCCAGGTAGTCTGCCAGTGCTCCGATCTAAAGGTGGGCCCGGGTGAGAGCTTCAGAGTGGTGGCGCTGCAGGAGCTCATCATTGACACTTCCGACTGTTACCTTGTCATCGACCAGCACGAGCTCATTCCAGGGGAGTGGAACTCTGGAACCTGTGAGTTTTACATACAATCGCTGCTCTCGCTTGACACCAACACTCTGAGAGGATCCAATCCCTTTGCCATCTACTCGGTGGGGCTCGTCAACATCACGGGTGACATCAGACATCTTGCATCAGCCTCCGAGACCAGGGGAGCGGGCTACTATGCAGGATTCTGCTACTACGGGGGGTCGGGAGGTGGCTTCGGAGGGCAAGGGGGCTTTGGCTCGGCTCCTGGCGGCCCTGTGTACGGTGCCAAGGAGCTCTGGCCCTGGTACGCCTTCCAAGGTTCTCCGGGAGGTCAGGGAGGTGACTGCAACGTCTACAGCACGGAGACCAACCTTGGGGGACATGGAGGAGGCGGTGTGCTGATTGCCTCTTACACCAGTAACTTTCTCGGGAGGAGGGGGAGGGGGAGGAAGGATTGCCATATGGTCTCCGGTGATTTTCTACCAATCCATCTCGGTGCTGAGAGGAGTGGGTTATAACCAGATCCCCGCCTTGGATGGCACAATCTACGAGGTGCTCAGGGTTCCAGGCGACTACCAGACTCCGGCGCTCATGTGTTACTCCTGCAACAACGGCTCCTACTACGAGAACAATCAATGTGTGGAAATCGTTCCCCATCTCGTCTTTCTCAGTGATGTTCCTGTGCGCCCTCTGCATGACGCGGAAGATGTAGATGAAAAAGAACTGCTCGCATGGATCCCTGAGGACAAACATTGCCTTGTCAAAGGCGACGGCAAAGCGGTAGAAGGAAATGGCGTAGTTCCTCAGGTAATGCTTATCCCCATTGTCAATGCAAGTGTCGATATCCCTGCCAAGGGAATACAGCAGCCTGGTGCATGTGGTCTTGAACCACCTCGCGCTCTCATTGGACACGGTGAACCGCTTGAAGAGGGTCGTGATGATCTTGAAGGGGACCGCCATCCTCGTCTGCTCGGCGAGGTAGACGCGGAACCTCGAGCAGTTCGCCACCACACACAGCATGCCCTGGACTACAATCGAGGCCTGCGGCTCGTTGAGGGCCTTCCTGTCGATCATGGTCCTGAAGACCCTGGCGCGGAGGTTCATCTCCCTCCTCATCCTCTCCATGCCCTCCAGGGTGGCATTGTTGGGAAGGTCGAGGGGTTCGGCGAGGTTTCGGCGCTGGATGTTGCCCATGATGTTGACGTGGAACTGCATCACTGTATGTTTTCCGTAAGCTTTGTCTCCAAAAGGGTCCGTAGGGGTGTCCGGAAAGATAGGCTGTCCGTAAGTGCAAGGGGTTCCTTAAAACCGTCTGTGTGAGGGTGTACGGAAAGATAGGCAGTCCGTAAATGAAAGGGTTCCGTAAGCGTGGGCGGGTGTGGCTAGGTGGCAGTTTTTCCAAACCCGCGATTCGCCGGCCGAATTTATAGTGGCGGGACCCATAGGGTATAAGAACCCATGAACTCCCCCTGCCGTTCAAACGCATGCCGCGGGACTCAGAGAACATCGAGCTGCACGAGCGTATCAACCGATCCTACGAGCTCTACCCCCTGAGCAAGGACGAGGTGGACACCTGCCGCGCCCTCCTCACCCCCAGCAAGCATACCTCCATCATGGTGATGCCCACCCACCACATCAACGAGCTCGGAGAGTTCCAGGGCTTCCGCTTCAACGCCGGCTCCCAGGTGACCGCCGATGTCCTACCAATCTCCAGGAAGATGTTCTTCGGGTTGACCATGACGGAGTGCATATCCCCCGAGTCCGATGGCTCCAAGGGTGTCAATCCGAAGGCCATCGAGCTGCTCTCCAACATCGAGCTCTGCAAGGAGAAGATCCAGAAGGTCCTCACCACCATCCAGCAGGAATCCCTCCACAACAAGGCATCCTTCCAGTGCATGCCGGTCAACGCCTACACCGTGCATGAGGAGGGGGATGCCTACCTGAACGACTACAGGAGGTACACGGACTCCAAGTTCTGGTAGTACGAGCCGCCCGAGTTCATCGGCATCTACCACGGCTTCACCCGAGGCTTCATCAATGACATCCGAGAGCACAAGCTCTACATCGTCTGCTCGGGGGGGCTGAACTACGCAGCCCATGATTTCTACAACATGATCCTCGACATGGGCGACAAGGTCACCACGGCGGAGCTCTGCGAGAGCGAAGAGGTCCACTGGCTGAGGAAGGCGTCCCAGCGCGCCCGGGCCAAGATCATCAAGATGGTGGCAGACGAGTTCGGGCTGGAGATCCCCGTGGAGCTCGACATGCACGAGCACTCGAGCTCGGGGTGTTACATCGCCTCCCCCACCACAGAGACCCTCTTCCATGACATCCAGAAGACGTCCATGGACATCATCTCGGTCTACAACCATTCTTGCAACACCGAGAGCGTGGACAACGGCATCCTCTGCCCCATGCACCCCTGCGAGGGCATATGGCTCTTCAAGGGCTCGAGGATCAACTACAACGGCTACCAGTCCTACGGCACCGGCTTCGGCACCCAGTTCATCTGCGGCGCCTTCCCCACGGGCTCCTACCCCATCGCCAGGGTGAGGAGGACCGTCAGGGGCTTTTATGAATCAAGGAGGGACAACGTGAAGGTTTCCACGATCTCCATGGACATCCACCAGCACAACGTCGTCACCATCCCCGGGAGCATGTTCGAGCTGGAGAACCAGGACACAGAGAGCCTAGAGCTCCACAAGGAGTACTTCTCCTTTGACGAGCCCTTCATTAAGAACCTGGAGAATATGCAGTGGAACAGGGACAATGGGGTGGTGGAGCTCATGCCCGTGATCGTGGGGCTGGGCTGATGGGGTTGTCAATCATCATGCGTGGTCTATTCCTACTGCTCACCAGCCGCTCTCTTAAGCTGCATCGAAAACTCATGGTTTTGCGCACGAAGATGATGAATCATCAAGATCGGTCTCAAAAAGCTCATCGAGATCCACTCCGGAATCGCTCTCAAGGGAATTTTCTTTCTTGGAGAATCGCTCTAGCGACTCAAGCCTCCATTTTCCCTCGGTGATCAGAGGGTTGCCATCGTGGTCCGTGCCTTCAATGCGAGTGTAATACATGCGGATCCGTTGAGGTTTGGGGTCGACGGGTGTTTCTGGAGGCAGTTCGGAGTTGTAGACGTTGCTCTGTGCACGGATGGTGCGTGCACACCTGAATGTGGTCTTGATGGTAATGGTCTGCTTAACGTCAATCCTTACTGGATTCTGGATACGAACGCTGATCTCGTGCTTTTCGCCGGCCTTGGCTATTTTGTTCTGGATCTTGCACATTGCGCCAAGAATCTTCCTGCAAACAAGAACGGTTGCGAGAAGAATTGCAACTCGCAATGGACATGCAAGTAAAGTATGAAGCTTTCGTCAAGGAAGTGATGTTTCGTAAGGAAAGAGAGCTCGTTGAGACAAAACAGGAAATCTCTGTTCTTAGGGAAGAAAATAAAAAAATGTTCGAGGAAATGATGCAACGGTTCAGATTAAATGAATCAGGAGCAGTTCAATACCTTCCGATCAAGGAACCAGGAGGGGCTGATGCAATATGCAAGCAAAATAATACGAGCATGTCGAACGACATGTCAAGTCAGCATGTAAAGCAGCAGTCTTCCCTAGTGAAATTTCATTCCAAGGATATTTCTCGATTTGATGGAGAAGTGACTCTAGAATATTTCGTTGCAAGTTGGTTTGGGGAGCTTGAGTTTCAATTCCAGCGTCAAAGAATTCCTCCAGATCAAAAGGTTGACATTGCTGCAACATTAGAGGGTAATCGTGTGAGGAATTGGTTGCAAACATTGCGTGGCGAGGATAGATTAATTTCCACACAAGGTACTTGGGAATCATTCAAATCGTTGCTGGTGAAGGAGTGTTTGTCGTTGTCGCACTCGCAGTATATTTTGGGTGAGATTCAAAGTACCATACAAGGGTCAGAGGAAAAGACTTCGGATTTTGTCAACAGGTTTTCAGCTTTAGCAAATCATTTTATTGCTTGTTGCATGCTGTTATATCATGGACAAGGGCAAGTCGAGACAGCTTGCACAAGGTTTGGTCTTGAACGGTATTTCGCACAGAATTTGTTCAATGAGGTGACCGCGAGTTTCGTCATGAAGTTGTTGAGTGACTTGGAGAGGCAAAATGTGAACAAGACTTTGAGTATTGGGAGTTTGTTGCCAGAATTGTATCGAGAGGCTAAGTCCATGGATTTGACGACCGATGCGTATGGGAATGACAGGTCAAGGCATCATGTGGTTTCGTACGACGATGAGTCAGCGGAGGATACCGACGAAGATTCTCAGCATTCAAAGTGCACTCTGCGCTACTCAATTGAAATGACTTGAGGTGGCTGCCGTTTTCTTGTTATGCAGTATCTTAATGATCAGCGAAGTTCATAGAGATGTTTCTCAGATGATAATGCGCTTGGGAGCGTATGTTAGGGGTTACGTAAGCGGATACGAATACTTCAGTCAACTAGCCGCTGAGCTGTCTTATCCGGTCGGTCTGGTTGGTTTGGTAGGTTTTGGTCGAATAAAATGGATCCGAACTTTCTATACGTTCAGTGAGCGCGGTTGTGTTGAGGTTCCTGTTTGCTTGTTAACGGTTCAAATTCACAAAGTCGAAGCACATCATCAGGATTGTCAATCCCTAACAAGGGTACCATCCAGGCGAGAGAACAGGGGAGGGGTGGAGAATGTCCAGGTCTGCACACAGGGTAGGGTAGCGCTCCATTGTAAGAAGCTGGCCGTGGCGCTGTAATAGGCTGATAAACTGACCCCCGCTTGAGGTGTGAACCCATCCCCCCCCTCCTGGTACGGAAGCTGACGCTTGAAGAAGGCAAACTCCAGGGGAGACAAGAATGAAGAGCTGGCCAGACCGAAGTCAACGTCCGAGCCTCTGTCAGGCAATGGCCAATCAAAAGCCTTGCCCAGCTCCAGGAGAACACTCTGGTCGAAAGCAGCGCATGCATCAGTCACGAGCTCAGGATCGATGCCCCGTAAGAAATACTGCAAGGTTGGGATGTGAGTAGCTCGAATAAGGTGTTTGCAGGCAAAGGGATGTAAGGTACTCAGCGATCCCAGCTTGTGGAGGTCATCGTCAAGAGCAGCAAGCTTTTCCTGAAGCCAGTTTCTGATGAAGTCTCTAGAGCCCAAAGGTATGCCGCCTACCACCACTCCCGCCGTCTCGACCGAGAAGCTCCGCAGGTCCGCACATTCGAGCTTGATGAAGGCAACACTCGCTGCATGCTGGTCGGAGGGTAAATGGACCCATGAAGGGGAAAAAACCTTGGGAGTCACAACCGTTGAATAATAATCATACTAGCCTGGGCCCTCGGAACGGCCGGGCTAGTCACAATACGTGACTCAGTAGAGTTTAGTCCAGGCTCTTCCCTTGGTTATCTGATGTCACGGTGGTTGGGCGACTTCGCCAAGACTTCTCCAGTCTGCTACCTGAGAGAAGAGCAGGTAAAACCCTATTTCACATCCCTCCTCCCTCCTCCCTTCCCTTCTCCCTCCTCCCCTCCCCTCTTCAAGGCCTTCTCCCCTCCTCATTACATCTCAGAGTATCATAGTCAGTTTTAATCAATGTACCATGTCAGTCACTCTCCTTCTGTGTCCAAGGAGTCTTTGCTATAGGACTGCAAAACGGTTCGGTCGTCAGACCTACTTCCACTATCATCAAAACTTTCCTATGACCCCTGATTTCGGCCTCTCTTTCATCCTTGCGCTGGTCAACAATACAAGCTCGCCAGTGACTATTATCTCTGAGATGTAAAATCAACACCTCTGTCCCGGTATTACACTCCTGCACGATCTGTTCAATGCTCCCTTGCTTCATCTCGGACATCATGAACAAAGCAAGATCGACCTCAGGGGTAAGCAGCTTGCCAACAATGTTACGGCACTCCGATGTAGGTACAGCAGTGCTCCTATTCTTGAATTCTGCCCTTCCAATCATTCTCTTTCTCGTCTCATGAGCAGGTCCTTGAAACTTTGCGTCAACCTGGTTCTGGTCTGTCGCACGCGTATAGTACCCATAAGCCGCACTTCCTTTTCCTGAACTTGTAGCTGAAAACGGAAGCAGATTTTGGATGCAGGACGTTAAAATCTCAAAGAAATCTTCGAATTGATTCCCGACCGCAATCGTCTCAAGGATTTCATTCACACTTCTCGTCTCCGTTTTGCTGCCACAATGAAAAGCAATGTTCTTGAGAATGTCTTGAGGCTCAGACCAACTGCTGATCATCATGACCACTCCTCCAAAAGACTCCAACGTACCACCATCTCGCTTCCACGCATCCACGGCTGTTGAGTCATTCTTAAAAGACTGCTGCTTATAGATCTCCTGTAAGACTAACAGCGCAGATTTGTCCTCTCCAAAAGGCCGTCCATTGCCTGCACATATGGCCGGAGTCAATGGGTCAACATGAGCTGGTGCAAATCTGGTCGTTATCTCATAAAGTGATGTAGATTTCAAAGTAATCTTGTCTGGGTTTGATGCTTCTCTTGCCAGTGTTACTATGCAGCTATCATCCCCTCTTGTTGGTGGGTTGCCCGGCCAAATATTTAGCAAGGCAAAGCTCGTCGACAGGTGCACCTGAGATAAAGATTCGTGGGCTGCAATCTGAAACATACAGTATAAAGAAGCTTTGCTGAAGCTACTTTTTACCGCCTTGACCGTCTCCAATATTGGAGAAGCAAACTTACGTAGAGCATGGGCAGGTTCATAGCTTTCAGTTGCTTTTGCCATGGCTTCAACCATGAACAATCTGCAAAGCCATGGATTCACATTATCCAGCAAAACAGAGGCTTCTTTCTCCCCAAAGATCCTTTCGAGGCATGCCAAGTGATCATGCGATGGAGGAATGATAGGAGGAAGAGCTCGATGTGTGACGCAGAGTAGCTTCTCTTCACCATCCCGACTGTCTGGCGATCTTTGAGCTGCGTCGTTAAAGTTCATGATTAGAGTATTCGTTCCCAGCATCATACAATGTATCCTGGCATTCCGCAAGATTCGCTTCAACAGTACCAACCTGCCGATTGGATATAGGATGTGACACTCTTCTCTATGTGAGGGGATGGCCTCGTCTAATAAAACCCACAGATTCCGCTGCCAGCTCTTCGCTTGTTCGACAGTGACAGGTTTAACCTCCTCTGTCTGATTCAGAAGAAACCCCAGCACTCCGAGTACATGCCACCCTTGACTTCGCTTCATACTGATGTTGATAGCAACAAGCGCGGCAGCCTCCCCCTGGTTCGAGGTATACTCCCCAATACAATTCCACAAGTCAATGTCCAAAGCACGGTTGATAAGATTTGTTATCTCGGACACCTCCTGGTAGATGAGCTGTGTATGTTTGTGGCCAAACAAGAAGTACAAACATGTATCAGGGTTGCGAACAAAATAATCCGCAGCACACATGGATTTTCCACTTCCTGAACACGCCTCCAACAAGCAGGTGTAAGGACCCTCATCCTTGGTCTTACTCATACTCACCACTCTGTCAATCGGATTCAATGAGCTGAAAACCTCGGTCGGTGTTCGATTGCCGGACTCCAAATGTTGTTCTGCGCTCAGCCGATTGCGCAGGAACTCCTTCAGATTTGTAACTGCACGGTCCTTCATACTTTTCTTGGCAAGAGCACGTAAACCTGTAAACAGCCATCAGCCGTGCATCTACACTCCATCCAAGTAATTGCCTTCAAAAGCAAATATAGGAGAAATGCTTGCCCGGAGAATTCGGCTTCGATCTTGTGCTTGAGTGAGTCCCTGCTCCGCCCCTGCTATCTCGACCGGGTTCCCCCTGGCCCTGGCTGCATCAAGCCTCGCCTGGGCCATTCCTTCTACTGTCGCGGCTTTTGCCTGGGCCAGGTCCTGCTCCGCCCCTGCTATCTCGACCGGGTCCCCCTTGGCCCTGGCTGCATCAAGCCTCGCCTGGGCCAGGTCCTGCTCCGCCCCTGCTATCTCGACCGCGTTCCCCTTGGCCCTGGCTGCATCAAGCCTCGCCTGGGCCAGGTCCTGCTCCGCCCCTGCTATCTCGACCGGGTTCCCCCTGGCCCTGGCTGCATCAAGCCTCGCCTGGGCCATTCCTTCTACTGTCGCGGCTTTTGCCTGGGCCAGGTCCTGCTCCGCCCCTGCTATCTCGACCGGGTCCCCCCTGGCCCTGGCTGCATCAAGCCTCGCCTGGGCCATTCCTTCTACTGTCGCGGCTTTTGCCTGGGCCAGGTCCTGCTCCGCCCCTGCTATCTCGACCGGGTTCCCCCTGGCCCTGGCTGCATCAAGCCTCGCCTGGGCCAGGTCCTGCTCCGCCCCTGCTATCTCGACCGGGTTCCCCCTGGCCCTGGCTGCATCAAGCCTCATCTCAGCTACCTCGCGTTCGGCCACCACTATTTCTTCGCGAGTCCCCTTTCTCCGAATGTCTCTCAACGCCTTTCTAGCTTCAACGTACTCTTGATCCAGTCTCTGCAAATTAATCCATTGGTTATCTGATGAGATGTTTTTTCCCCAAAGGTTGAGAAGCTTGCAGTGTGCAGATGACCGCAAGGAAGGTTCATACAAGATTTGTGAACGGTATTGATGCACAAGGCAGCGAGTCAACCGACCGCTTCCCCGCAAACATCCAAGCACTTGCATCTGCAAAAAAGTAAATGGTGGGTTCCGTTCTTACAACATGTACATGCAAAGATCTTCTCTGCTCAATCTGCATAGCTTCTCCCGATCATTCAATCCATCCCCCCCTTCCCCCCCCCCCCCCTACCCTCCCTCCCTCCCTCCCTCCCTCCCTCCCTCCCTCCCTCCCTCCCTCCCTCCCTCCCTCTGCATTCATGCGAAAACTCTATATTTATGATTGACTGAAAAAGAAGGGCAAACCGGAGCAAACAAAAGGAGGGGGAGGATAAAGCCTGCAAACCCGCCTCAATAAAAGACTAGAAAACGAAAAAGGCAGCAAAAACCGCTACTCCAACCACGCAAGCGACGGCATGCACGACAAGCATGGGAACAAGGATCAGGACAAAGAGCAGTAGCGCAAGGCCCCTGCGAGGAGGACGGCAAGACCCATACGAGAGCGGTCTGCCGAAACAGGCGAGCACGCAAACGATGAAAGCCAGGGTCCCCATACACCGCCTCCTGAGCGCATCCATCCCACTCCGCTGTCAGCGTAGCTCCATGGTGATTCGCCAGGTACCAGAGAAACCGCAAAGCGTCAGCATGAAGAAGACCATCCGTACCTGCAGTGAAGGGAAGAAAGGCCTTCGGCGGGTGATGGGTGCCATAACTGGCGCGATGATCCGAAATCTTCTGTTGGGCGGGGCCGGAGAGCGCAGAAAGTCCGACGGGGCTGCCGCTGCTGTTGTAGGGGTGTGTCATCGTGAAGTCCAGAACCAGCCCATTCCAGGTGTCGTGAAGTCCAGAAGCCAGAGGTCGCCCATGTGTCTGTTGGTGGGGCCGTGCTGAGGGACGTGGGTCCGGGTTTGTCGCAGTCCCTGTTGATGGAGCTTGGTGACAATGCCCGCTTCCACACAAATGTCGCGAAGAACCACAGTACACTGCTCATGTGCGGTGGTCCATAGAGCTGCGCGATGACGACAATTGGCCAAATGCGAGACACTGCTTCCCGCCGAGGGGTCGAGAGCTGTAGCACAACGATCACAGGTGGGAGGCAGCCGAGCCGGAGGTAGGCCATGGAGGAAGCGATCGACTCCTCGTGCGAGGTGGATGGGACACTGGTTGGAAGGATGACTGTTCGTGGCCTCCTGCAATCGCCGCTGGGGGCTCTGGGTCTTGCGAAGGAGGGCTCCAGGGGGAATGGACTAGAAGGCGGACTTGCGGACTCGGGGGGATAGAGCTCCACAGTGTAGCTGCTATGAGCCCGGAGAAGGGCTGCCTGAACTTGGGATAGATGCGCCCGCCGCTCAAGATGAGGGGGAAAAGTCTGCATCAACCGTCCAGTGACTGAGCGCTTGGGGGGGAAGGAATGGAGGTCCGCCCGCGAGTTGAAAGAGCGCTGGAGATGGGATCGAATTGTGCAGGCGTGCGTCATCCAGGTCACTGGGGTCAATATACTGCGGTATCAAGTTTCCTTCTAAAATCAGTCAATAATTTGTACCATGACCTTATCTTTTAAAGTTTTATTCTCTTTTTAATTCATTTTTGGAAGTGTTGGATTAGCAGTGAACCTGAAATGCTTGCGCAGAACGAGCGCTTGCAAGGTGTGTGAGATGTTAGCTTATGCTGTTGTAGTTGATGTTGCAAGCAAGTACAAGCAGGATGGAGAACAGCTTTATGCACATGAGGTGTTGCAATTACATTACTCATGTTCTAATTACAATGAACACATGAACAAAGTTAAGATGCACATTAAACCCGGTCACCATCACATGTACTGAATATCTGTTGCTAAACTTCATCCACACACCTCAGCTCAACTGCTTCTACTCAGATCCGTTGTGAGGGTGTCAGACACGGTTCTTTCACGAATCCAGGATGAATATGAAGCTTGCCTTGCTGGACTCCATGAGAAGGCGGTATCCATTTGTGTTGCTAAATCTTGTCAATCATGATTAGGATTAGCTCCTGGTACAAATGTTTTAGTCAAACCGCTACTCAACCACGCAAGCGACGGCAGGCAAGACAAGCAGGGGAACAAGGATCAGGACAAAGAGCAGTAGCGCAAGGCCCCTGCGAAGAGGACGGCAAGACCCATGCGAGAGCGATCGTGAAGTCCAGAAGCCAGAGGTCGCCCATGTGTATGTTGGTGGGGCCTCTCTTCCTCCTCTCCACCTCCATCTACCCACCCGCCTCCCTGTTGCCACCTCTCCTCTCCCACTTGTCAGAGACAGCTAGAAGAACGAGTCCTTCCAAACCTGCATCGACCTCCCCCCCTCGGAAGTGTGCGTCTCGTTCTTCACCTCCTCAACGCCTCATGCCAGGGCATGTCTGGCTTCTATGAACTGCATCCAGCTGCATGAACAGTCACAAGTGACTGAGGACGGACATGCGAGTTGCTAGGCATCCCCTCTCCTTCCTCGCCTTCCTCCTCCTCCTTAACCTAGCGGGAGCGGGAAGGAATCTCCATGACAGGAAGGACGTTCATGAGACTCGACCGGACCCTCTCGCCAAGTTGTTGAGAGACCTGAAGGATTCGTTCACTCCGGCTGCTGCTCCTCCCGGAAGCGAGCAGGAGCTGGATCAGTTGCGGAAGAGAGTGAAGAGGATGTTCTACCATGCATACGACAACTACATAATGCATGCCTTCCCGCATGACGAGCTTCTCCCGCTCTCCTGCAGCTTCATCGACAACTTCGGCTCCTACGCGCTCACGCTCGTGGATTCTTTAGACATGCTGGCTGTGCTCGGGAACAGGACGGAGTTTGCGAGAGCGGTGGGGCTGCTGAAGAAGCATCTCTCCTTCGACAAGGACGTTCAGGTGTCTGTCTTCGAAACAAACATCCGCGTGCTCGGCGGACTTCTTTCCTCTCACCTCCTCGCTCGAGATCCGAAGCTGAAGCTCATGGACGACTACGACGGCTTCCTGCTCAAGAAGGCTCTCGAGCTCGGGGAACGCCTCCTCCCCGCCTTTGACACTCCGACGGGCATTCCTTACGGTACCATCAACCTCAGAAGGTGAGGAGGGGCAGGATGAACGTGCCTGTACCAGCCCTCAACGCTCCTCTCACCTAACTCATGCGCTGAATATGTGTCCTTGCCCTCCCTCCCTCCCTCCCTCCCTCCCTCCCTCCCTCCCTCCCTCTCTCCCTCCTGCTCGGGCACCTCCAGCGTCTGACGTGTCCTGCAGCGGGGTTGCCGTGGGGGAGACGACCATCACGTCCTCAGCATGCGCTGGGACTCTCATGCTGGAGTTCGGCATGCTGTCAAGGCTGTCAGGACGCGGGGAGTTTGAGCGGGTGGCAAAGAGGTCCCTGCTAGCCCTGTGGTCAAGGAGATCGAGCATGGGTTTGATCGGAGCGCATCTTGACATCATGACGGGGCAGTGGACGCACAAGGACAGCGGGGTGGGAACGTCAATCGACTCTTTCTACGAGTACTTGATCAAGAGCTACATCCTCTACGGGGAGGACGAGTTTCTGTTCCTCTTCCAGCAGGCGTACCATTCCGCCAAGGCGCTCCTGGCGAAGTCGCCATGGTACGTGGACGTGAACATGGAGTCGGCACAGCTCGTGTGGCCAATCTACAACAGCCTGCAGTCGTTCTGGCCGGCCATCGAGGTGTGTGGGAGGAGAGGGAGCGGGGACGCGGAGTTGAAAGGGAGGAGGACGTGGTGCGTAGCATGAGCAGGGAGGGGAAGGGAAGGGTAGCGAGGAGAACAAGAGGACGAGGGGGTTGGCGGCGGGTGAAAATGAAAGTTCGTGCTGATTGACGTGAGCAGGTCATTGCTGGCAACTTGAAGGACGCGAGCGAGACGCATTCAGCTTTTTATGGTGTATGGAGGAGGTGAATGAGAAACTCAGAACAGCAAGAAGGAGGGAGGGGGAGAGGGAGGGGAGAGGGAGGGGAGAGGGAGGGGAGAGGGAGAAGAGAGGAAGGGGGAGAGGAAGGGGGAGAGGGAGGGGAGAGGGAGGGGAGGGGAGGGTATCTAAGGGTGGAAGATGGGGAGGCAGAAAGGAAGACTGGGAAACTACAAGGAAGAGGAGATAATGTTCTTCTGTTCTCAGGTATGGATACACTCCTGAAGGTTACAACCTGGCCGATGGACGGGTACAACAAGGACAGAGGTAGCTGCTACCATGCCACGAAGTTGAATGAGAGAATGACTGTCCCTTCTTCTTCCCTCCCCTTCTTCTCCCCTCTCCTCATCCTGTTGCCAAACCTGTCTCCTCCTCCATGTCCTCTCCTGCCTCCTCCTGCCACTCTCCCTCCTCCTCCTCCTGCTTCACCTCCTCCTCCTCCTCCTGCTTCACCTCCTCCTCCTCCTGCTTCCCGTCCAGGTCATATCCTCTTCGTCCTGAGCTCATCGAGAGCACCATGTACCTCTACCAGGCTACGCGCGATCCCCACTATGTACAGGTGGGACGAGACATCCTCTCCTCCCTCGAGCAGACGCGCGTCCCTTGTGGTCACGCAGCGATCGAGGATGTGGAAACTCACTTACTGCAAGATAAGATGGATTCCTTCTTCCTCTCCGAGACCCTCAAGTACTGCTCCCTCCCTCCCTCCCTCCCTCCCTCCCTCCCTCCCTCCCTCCCTCCCTCCTCCCTGCATCTCTCCCTCCCTCCCTCCCTCCCTCACTCGCTGACTCTTTCCTTACCCTCCTCCTTCCCTGCTCTCCTCTCCCTTGCTCCCTTCCTCCATCCATTCTCCTTCAACCTGGTCTTCGCCTCCTCACATCATGCCCCCTTGTTGCAGATATCTTTACCTTCTCTTCACTCCTCGTCACTGGGCTCTCAACGGCTCCTTCGTCTTCTCAACTGAAGGGCATCCTCTCCCGCTGCAACAATTGCCTGGCGATCGTTTCACTTCCTCTGCCGGATTTTCCTCCCTCCCAAAGTTTCCGAATCCTTTTTACGATCATCATCATCAGCAGCAGCAGCACCACCACCATCACCAGCATGGACGAGATGACGAGCAGAGTCAGGATGGGGAGAGTTCATGCCAGACGATATCGATGAAGGAGGAGGAGCTTCATGCTGTTCAAAACGAGTCATCGGACGTCACCGACGGCCTTTACGACTGCACGTTGCCAAGGCCCACCCTCTGCCTTGACCGCAACGCGTCCATGGTGAGATGCTGCGATGGGATCCTGACTTGACCCTGACGCTGAGAGTGAAGGCCCTGGAGGAGCTACAGCAGGCGAAGCAGATGCTGGGGAGGTAGGAGAGAAGAGCGTCCTGGCTCCTGCGTGAAGGATTCTGACTGTTTCCTTGCTGCCTGTCAGTTGTGCCTCGTTGCAAGCGTCTCTCAAGTACTCCCATCTCGACTTGGAGTTTCAGAACGCAAGAGACACGTTCGAGGTGCTCTGCGAACAACATCCTGTCTTTCACGTTCCTCCTTGCTCTCTCCACGTTCATCCCACTGCTCTACCTGGCCTTCCCCTTGCTCTGACTCTGTCCCTCTTCCCCCAGACTCCAATCGACCAGGAGCGAGTCGGTACAAGCCTGCAGGTCGGTGCGCTCCTCTTCCTCCGCCACCTCACCTCGCTCCTGCAGCATCTGTTTCAGAAGCGCGAGAGACGTCGATTGGGTCTGCTGCCAGCCTGGAGGGATCGGCACGCAATGCAAGAGATCATCGGGACTCAGACCAACACCTTCAACGTCCAGGTGCGGGTTAGCAGACAGAGGGCAGAGGGCAGAGGGTGTGAGTGTTCAAGGAGGAGGAGGATGAGGAGAGGGAGGGGAGGGAGGAGGAGACGAAGGGAGAGGGAGGAGGAGGAGGAGAGGGAGGAGGAGGAGAGGGAGGAGGGGGAGAGGGAGGAGGGGGAGACAGCTATACAGGCTCAGGATAATGTGATCTTTTTGCTATTTAGATACAACTGCCGGCGGGAGGTATGGGAAACATCTGGGAGACCATAGGGGCTATGAAACAGGTACTGCCCTCCCCTCCCTCCCGTTTGTTATCTAACCTTTTCTCCTCCTCCTTCTCCTCCTTATCTGCTCAGAAAATCGAAGAAGCTCTCGGGAACGTTAACACAGGCCAGGTGGATCAAGCAAACCCAAACTCCCCGCATATCCCTCTGCCATCCCATGCTTTCATTGATCTATTCAGTAGTCTCCTTCCTCTGCTCACTTTCCATCCTCTCCCAACCCTCCATCGCCATCAAAACTTTCTCCCCGCTGCACCCCGTTCTCTTCTTCGGCCTCACCCTTTTTGAGAGCTTCCACCATGCTCTCTCCTCCCAGGCATCCTCCTCCTCTTTTCCATCCTCCTCTCCTCACTTCCTCCCGCATCCACATCGTTGCCTTACATCCTCTACCGCAGCTCAAAATCTCAGGGTTTCAGTTCCGTACCAACCAGGTCCAGCCAGGGGCCGGAGGGCAGGCGGTGGCGGCACAGAGCATGCAGCCGATGCAGATGCTTCCTGTCACCTCCTTCGAGGACATCGGGAAGCTCCTGGGGCAGATGCAGCAGGCCCAACAGCACGCGGCCCCGGCCCTTCCAGTGCGAGCTGGGAATGTTTCTGCTCGCTGCATGGGATATAGCAGCTCCCAACTGCCTGCGGTGAGCCATGACCGCATGCTTCGTCCGCTGCTGACTGTCAAGTTGACGGCAGGAGGAAATTTGTGTGAGCGAGGACGAGGCGGAGGGAATTTACTCTGCCCTCGGTGGACGTCAGGAGGCGGCAGAATCCTCCTCTCCAGCGCTTGATTTTCAATCCTCCGGGGAAGCAGCGGAAGCAGTGACGATCGGAGGGGCATCGATGCAGTCCCAGGAGCAAGAGGAGCAAGAGGAGCAAGAGGAGGAGAGATACATGGAGCGCGATGAACATGAGAGGGAAAGTAAGAGAGCGAGGCATCTTGCTAACTCGTTGCCTTCCTGACATGTCCTTGTTAGTGGATGAATCGCAGAAGGAAGTGCAGAAGCTGTACGACCTGTACGACCAGGACCAGAACCTCCGTCTCTCCCATTCGGAGCTCCACACGATGCTGCATTCCTCCTTCGGTCAGAGACTCTGCTCGTGCCTCTCAACCCTTGTGACTCTGTTCCTGCAGGGAGCCGAATGGTCGACTCCTTGCGGATCCTCAAGACTTGGGATCTCGACCAGGACTACACTCTCTCCCGCAAGGAAGTGGCGAGGTAAGAGCTCAACGCTCGCTCCTTCCAGCAGCAGCTGACCAGACTGTGAACAGGTGGTACGTGTCTTACAAGGAACACGGCTTCTCAGATCCGTTTCGAGCTAGCCCCAACAATGCTACCTTCCCCTCGATGGGGTAAACGCTCTAACACCTTCGAAAACTTCATCTACAATTTCAATTTCATTTCCATCTTCATTTCCATCTTCATCGTCATCTCCTTTCTCCTCCTGAGATGGTTGGCAGTTTTTCGAGTGTTCACATGCCGCTGGAAGTCTTTTATTTCGACGAGAAGACTGTCGCTGAAACTTACAAGGTAAAACTTGTTGATGTTGAAAATTCATCATTAGCCTCACTCGTTTGCAAGATATTGAGTGGCGAAGATGCTAGGACAGGCATTTCAAACAGCTGACCTCTATGTAATTCTTCTCTGGGATATTTTTAACAGTTACAACTGGATTCTCTCAAAGTTGTTGTGACTGTAGAAATCAAATTTGATTGCTTCCGATTCTCTAAATGAGCTGCCACTTCCCTCTGATAACTCAATAGACGAAGATTGCAGTGTGAAGATTGCAGTGTCTCAGGTACACTCATAATCCACAAAGGTTTCGGACATCATTAAGTCATCAAGTCCTCTTCCATGAGATGTTTATTGACAACCACTGGAAACGCAAATAGTCGACACAATTGTACGTGTGCAAGGGGAGAGATAAGTTAAAGGTGACGTGGGAAAATGGTGAAATCAATGGTGAAAAAAAGTTGAATAGATGTTGTGAATTCAAATCTAAGGTGAAAGTTTCAGCATAATTGTTGCTCTTTCGATCTCATGTTCTCACATGTTCGAAAAGCTCGTGCAAACTTCTCACTTGTATTCTTGTGTGTTTCTGGCGATCGACCTCTCTCCTGCTCTATCTCTCTCCTGCTCTACCTCTCATCTGCTCTATCTCTCTCCTGCTCTACCTCTCTCCTGCTCTACCTCTCTCCTGCTCTACCTCTCATCTGCTCTATCTCTCTCCTGCTCTACCTCTCTCCTGCTCTACCTCTCTCCTGCTCTACCTCTCTCCTGCTCTATCTCTCTCCTGCTCTACCTCTCTCCTGCTGTACTTCTCTCCTGCTGTACTTCTCTCCTGCTCTATCTCTCTCCTGCTCTACCTCTCTCCTGCTCTACCTCTCTCCTGCTGTACCTCTCATCTGCTCTACCTCTCTCCCGCTCTACCTCTCTCCTGCTCTATCTCTCCTGCTCTACCTCTTTCCCGCTCTCGTCCTACGACCTTGTATCAACTCTTGCCAGTAGGCGCGGCATTTCCAGTAACCCAAAAAAATCTTCTACTTCGAGGTAGTCCCGCGACCACCCCTGCTCCGACCACTGACTACCCCATTATTGCAGGAATAGGGGAGGTAGAGACCGGGAAGGGGGTGGGATGGGGTGGAAGAGCGGGATGCGGCAAGAAAGACAAAGATGGGAGGGCTGACGTGGCGGAGGGAGGGAGGGGAGGAGGGAGGAGGGAGGAGGGAGGAGGGAGGAGAGAGAGGAGAGAGGACAAGCAGATCGATGAACTGGAAGACTTGAAGGAGGCAGGGAGGAGAAAGATGGTCTATGGTGGGGGGATCGAACGTAGTGGAGTGGATGAAACCAAACATTTGAATGGCTACTCAACCATACGAGACACACAGTAACTGTCCTCACAATTTGATGGTCGTGTACATCGAGCAGTCAGTTAACCGAAGCAATCAGTCTGCAACGTGATATAACTCTGTGCGTCATTGGGTGCAACGGGTCAAGAATCACACCCAAATGTGAAATTTTCGTGCAGATGCAGGCTGTTTATCAGAACTCACCCAACAACATGAGTTATCAGCACATGAATTATCCGCCACAGTCACCTTATGCCCAACAGAGACAAGGTACGACCCGTCCATGTCACTCTCTGGACCTCTCCATGACAGCCAGTGGCAGTCCAGTACGTACAGAACGTGAATGTCTCACCGCAACCTGTATCCTACGTCATGTCTCAGGTAGTTGTGCCCTCCTCGTCGCCTCTGAGTCTAGATTGCAGCCCTCCCAGCAGTTCTACGAGTACTCTCCTCAGAATGTCACGACGGTGGCCCAGCCGCATGTCACGACGGTGGCCCAGCCGCAGGTGTACATGGTTGCGGACCAGTACCAGGCGCCTCCACAGGAGATGACCTACGCGGTCCAGCAAGCGCCGCAGCAGATGTCCGTCCCCAACACAGCATGGGATGACTTCAACAAGAGGAGGAACGCCGCCATCGCACGACAGGTGCCGCCAGTGACCTGACATGGCGCGCGGGCAAGAGACTGATAGGCTTCAAGGGTTTCACCACCAAGACGAGTGCCAAGGCTCCGAGCACCATGCAGTTCCCGGGGATGTGAGGAGACGTGTGAGGCTGCTGGTTAGCAAGTGACTGTCGGGCAGGAATGCGGGATACAACTCAGGTGCTATGTCGCAGGACGCCACCAACGCCTACCTGCAGAGCATCGGAGTAGCTCCTGTGGGGGCTCAGGTAGAGTGAGGAGGAGACATAGAGGGTCTGATGTTGCTTGCAGCAGCAGCAGCAGCAGCAGCAGCAGCAGCAGCTGTACCAGCAGCCCATGGGGCAGCCTCAATACGCGGACATGCAGCAGCAGAGCAGAATGATGAGCAACGGATACTTGTAGAAAGATTGACTCAGATGAGCTTCACGTCTTCACTAGTCCATGAAAACGATTAATGAAAGGGTCTAAGAAACATTATTTTTGTACACTTTGAACTGACCTGCATCTCAAGTTCACAGAGAAGAGTTTGAGAAAGGCGTACAATGATCACCTCTGCCGCAAGATCGCGAGAATACACATTTGAGGCAGGTGTGTGCCGATGGTCAAATCTTGGAGATCGTCACATTTCCATCAAAAGTCTGCTGACAACCTGATCATTCCATGTTGTTGCTCCCTTTGCATGTCCCACCTGGACCTATCAGATGGAGCACCTGACGGCAGACGAGCATAGATGGTTGTGGTGATTTCCAAGTTAACGATGGAGGAACGACTGCAGCACGTGTCACTTATCGCTGTCAAGACAGCGCATGCTCTCACCTCCCTTGATCGTCGGTTCTCGTCTAGAGAAACTTGACATCGGCGCAGCGCAGGCACCTGCCGCACATGTCAAGAAGCGGAGACGGCATCAAACTGTTGTAAGTCCATTCTCCTCTCGACGTGCAAGGCAGGTAGCAGGGTACAGACCAGGATAGTCTGGAGGAGGAAACCACGCTTAGCGTCTTCTTCCTCTCCCTCGCCGAGCTCTGATCGGAGGAGAACCACGTCAGCACTGTCGACGTCAGCAGCTCTCGCAAGCACCTGTCGATGTTCTCTCCGCCTCCTCGACTCTCGACCTGCGATGGGCTGACAAACTTCCGTCAGCCCCCACAGCAGCCCCTGCCGGCTCTCAACCCTGGTCGAGCGCTGGGATTCCGTTCTTGAAGCTTCGTTTCAGCACGAGCAATGCTTGCTTCTCCAGTCTGTCAACCCCTAGGGAAATGGAATGTCAGGGGGAACAAGAAAGTTTGAGACGATTACCTCGATCTTGGAGATTCAACGCTTCGCCTTCTCCTGGCTCTAAGTATTCTTCCAAGATGCTCTCAACCTCATTCATGTGAAGGTCTCCCAACTTGAATCTGCTGCTCTTGCTGTTGGCTACGAGCACACCTGGGACAGACGTGAACAGCAGGAGCAGGAGCAGGAGCAGGAGCAGGAGCAGGAGCAGGAGCAGGAGCAGGAGCAGGAGCAGGAGCAGGAGCAGGAGCAGGAGCAGGAGCAGGAGCAGGAGCAGGAGCAGGAGCAGGAGCAGGAGCAGGAGCAGGAGCAGGAGCAGACCTGCGGCACCTCGAACTCGTTCCCACAACCTCCCACGTTGAGACGAGTTCTGCAGGAGAGGCAATGAGGTATGAAGAGAGAGCGAGGTGAAATAGATTGCATTGCGTGCAGTCATGGCTTCCTTCTTGTCTTGCATTTTCCTCCTCATCAACTCCGCTAACAACCAACGTGACTTTCTCCCAACACGACCGAAGGGTCTCTCACCAAAGGGACGAGAGTTCTGCTGAAGAGTGTCGAAGTGGAGACTTTCCTTCATGATAGAAACCTGCACAGCTCTCACTCTCACCATCTTTATCCTGAACGCCTCACCATGCTCCTCAACGTGTCAATGTGGCCGATGCTCGATTTCCCCGTATGACTAACGACGTCCTTGCGATCGCCCTCGGCTCCCCCCTCCAGTCCTTGAACGTCTCCTTTGTCGCCCTCCCAATTTCTCTTGGTAATTCTCTTGTTCTTGACGCGACAACAGGACTGGGTGTCGTGTCAAGGACGAAGTCAGCTAGGTGGTGTATACCATAGCAGATGCCTCCAACTTTGATATACCGTCTCGCAACCTTGACATGTCAGCTCAGATGTGCACATCCGCAGTCTCGCACTCACTGTATCAAGGCATTCTGCACAAGATCTTGAGAGTTTTCCAGGTCAACCTGCACTCTCTGGCCATACTTCTCAAACACTTCAACTCCAGAAAACCGATCGAGCTCCTCCTGCAAGATTCATGACAGACGTCCTGCTCCGCTCTCACCAACCTCAACGAGACATTCTTGCATGAAACTCTCTGCGTCCACAATCAAGTTCTTCCACTGCAAGGTGACCGCAGCGTCAACTCGGAAGCCGCCCAACACACGACAGACCTGAATGCTGAGCTGCAGAGGGTCAAGATGAGTGACAATCATCGGCAAGACGGCAATCAGCTCCCAGACCTGCTGGGAAGTCATACAGCATCCCTGTCAGCCCTGCCCCTGACCTTGTCCATCATCGTCTTCACGGCATGCTGGACGCTCTTCTGCCGAACTCTGCTCATGCTCTGCAGGAGGTACGGCCTCTGCCGCATCCGTCAGGCTCCTCAAGCGTTGGGAGGTATCTCAGATCTACCAATCTGACCGCCAAGTATGCGAGCTGGTTTTCCAGCATTTCACCTCCCAGCTGCTGCTCCTGCTCGCGCCCCCTCCCGGCACCCACAAACCCCCGCAGCTCAGGATGCTGCAACTTCCCAGCTAGACTGCGCATCCTTTCCATCCTCTCCCTGCCTCTTGGCGAGTCGATTGGGCCCAGCCCTAGCGCAGCAGAGAGAGTTTGCATCTTGATCTGCAGCAGCAGCAGCCTCGTCCTCAGCCCCGTCCTGTACTCTAAGAAGCTTCTGCCGTGAGCTTCAGACACGTGCGGAAGTTCCCCCCAGAGGTACCTGAGACGCTCCAACTCGCTCAAGGATTCCAAGAATCGGTAGAAGTAAACTTGGAAGATCTCCTGGAGCGCGTGAAAGGTCGCGGGCAGCTCATGCGCGAACGGATACTCGTCCACGTAGTCTTCCGATTCCATCAGCGTCTTCTCCCAGGTGCAGGCACAAAGATGTGTTCGGAGGGCGGGCTGGGAAGACGAGCCAATCGACTTGTTCTCCTGCAGAAAGCATGAGGATGCGATTCCATTCGTGATCATGTACCGCAGAGCTCCGCACGATCATCAGGTAAGCGATTTCCGCGAGCAACTTTGCAGACTTTGAGAGTCTGTCGGTGAGGCCATGAAATCGGGCGAGGAACACGTTCTCTGCCAGCAGCTCTCCTTCCACCACCCCCTTGAATAGCGGGGACGAGTTCGCTTTGAAAAGAAAAGCGATATGAAACGATTCAAAGTATGGGAGCCGATGTTGTCTCCTCAGTCTCTCCGCCAGCGTGTCCCAAGCTCTCAAAGAAGATAAGTTGGACTGCATCGCCACAAGACTAGAGGATCCGTCGACTTCCTCACGAAGCAGAACCTTGCTCAAGTCGTGAAGGCGCTCGATAGAAATCTTCTTGGCGTACTCGTACCTTGTCAGTCTTGCCCTGGACATTCATGTGAGATGGTATAATACATCTACATGCCCCGCAGCATGGTCATCTCTGCAGTAGTGATCCAGCTCTTCTCGGTGTACCACCGACCAATTGCCACTCCTCCTCGTACATCCTCCTTCTGCCTAGATCTCTCTTCTTGTTTCAACATCATATCCTCTCACTAACTTCACAGCATCATATGTTACCTCCTCTCCATCCATCCATCCCTCCTCTCCTCTCTCTCCCTTCCCTCCCTCCCCTCCCCTCCTCTCCTCTCCTCTCCTCTCCTCTCCTCTCCTCTCCTCTCCTCTCCCCTCCCCTCCCCTCCCTCCCTCTCACCACTCACCGCACTGCAGCGCCAAGGCGCTCCTCCGCCATTGTCGGGTAGTTTTACTCAACAACACAATTAGCTTAATATCTTTTCTTTTTAGATGTAACTGTTGTAACGGGCATCGCTTGCGAAGCGTCACAGTCATCATGGCAGCAGCCGTGACTGTCACCGCCGACAACTCCTCCTCCTCCTCCTCCTCCTCTTCCTCTTCCTCTTCCTCTTCCTCCTCCTCTTCCTCTTCCTCTTCCTCGTTCTCGTTCTCGTTCTCGTTCTCGTCCTCCTCCTCCTTTTCCTCCTCGTCCTCGTCCTCATCCTCGTCCTCCTCGTCCTCCTCGTCCTCCTCGTCCTCCTCGTCCTCCTCGTCCTCCTCCTCCTCGTCCTCCTCGTCCTCCTCCTCCTCCTCCTCCTTCTCGTCCTCGTCCTCCTCGTCCTCGTCCTCTTCCTCCTCCTCCTCTTGCTCCTTCTCCTCTTGCCGCTGCTCCGTAACCTTCTCCTCCCCCATCAAATCGTCCCCACTTCCATAACCTCCTGCTGTATCACCTTTTCTGTTTCCTCCCTCCTTTGTCCCTGTGGTGATTTCCACCAGTGTTGCCTACGCATCTGATATTGCTAGCAATTCCTCTTCCTCGTCTCTTTCAATCACTTCGTTTTATCGATATGAAACCTCCATACTCCCTTTCTAACATGTTTCCTCGCCATCATCAACTCGTTCTTGCCTCTGCTTGTCTACCTTGTCGAATGTGTTCCGATCTCCAACCTTCTCGTGCAGGGTAGCTCATTTTGTTTCGAGAGAGACGATATACTGATTTTCTCACTCTCAACTCTCTTGTTCTTGTGCTGTCCCAACATCGTACTTTAGTTTTTCTTCCACTTCCTTCCAGTTTGTTCGCTATATTCTCTCTATCAATCCTTGATTGTCTTGTTGCTGTGGACTAATTTCTCTCGATCCTCAGCTTCTCTCGCCAACTCTCGGCGACTGATCTTGCAATGCCTGGTCTCAAAGCTTCGCCGGTGAGATGGAACTCATTCCGACTTCGATCAGCTGACTGACTTGTGTTCACAGAGGAGCTTGAGCCCCCTATACATTGCCGGCCCTCTAGTCCTTATCGTCGGGCTCGTTCTTGTGGTCCAGAGGCCGTCGGATCTCCCAGCTGAGCTCGACGAGAAGTTTTTGAATGAGAGGGCGGCGGAGATCGAGAAGACCCTTCACTCCCTGGAGGGAAAGCTAGCTTCAGTCAAAGGCAAGGGTTCAGCCCCTCCTTCGATCTACAGGATGCCAGGACAAGAGTGGACGGCTGAGGATGAGGAGGATTATGACAAGAAGATGGCTGAGGCGGTGGGGGAGGATGGGACAAGGCCGTACAAGGGTCTGAAGCTTCCTCCTTCGTTTCTTCCCATCTCTGACCCCAAGGTGCAAGAGTCCTATGCTCAGAACCTTGTATCCCTCCTGCGCAACATGAAGGCGGGGTATGTGGAGGAGATGCTGGAGTGGGCTGAGAGCGGCAAGTCCACTGAGAACCCTTACATCTTGCCCATCGTGGAAGGGATTGAAGCTCCTCTCATCAAGAACTTGGACGCCGAGGCTCACGAGCGCGTGAAGGAGACTGTCCGCGACGTCGGGCTGCGAAAGAACTTGAATGCTGAACAGATGAAGAAGATGCGATCCAGGCTCTTGGTGCCACTGCTCCTGAGGATAAGGGCCCGCGTTCATCATCAGGTGGAGGTCTATGTCATCTCGATGCTCAGGAGAGTCATTCTTGGCTCGTCCCTGCCTGGCTCTGGTCACTCGGGCAGCGCAAAGATGGGGATCGCCGCTCCGTTGGCTGGGGAGCAGAACAAGCCGTCCGACGACATGCAGATGGAGTACGAACTGCGTGACATCGACGGGCTCTACCAGAAGGGTGTGATTTCGAAGCGCGACTATCACGCTCAGAAGGCCAAGGTTCTGTCCGAATGGCTGGGAGTTGCGATCAAGCAGATCGGTGGAAAGTCTGCAGCCAGGAGGGCCCTGGAGGATTTCCTGTGGCCTCCTATCAAGACTGTGTCCGGCTGCCGTTGCCTCTTGCCCTTCAAATATGACGTCCCGGAGCTCAAGGACCATACCATCAAGTACGACGTCTGTACAGACATTGGGTCACCAGGGAAGGCATGGTGTGCAGTGGACCCTGCGGACGGGGAGTGTGGCAAGTTTGGATCCCCCAAGAGCTCCAGCGATCCCAAGGCCACAGTGAAGGAGGGAGGGTATGGATGGACTCACTGGGACTTCTGCATGAGCCAGCCTGCTCCTCACGATGAGAAGTTCTTGCCCTCCCCCGCTCCTAAGGTCGTCACTGAGAAGGGCTGTACCTGCAAGCTCCCCTTCGAGTTCTACCCCAGGTCGCTCGGGGGGCTGCAGAAGCTTGAGCTGTACGCCTGCACCCTACATGGCGGCCATGGCACTCACTGGTGCGCCACGGAAGGATCTTGCGGCCGCACCGGAACGCCAGAGAGCAAGTACGGCGACTCGAGACTGTCCTGGACCCATTGGGACAAGTGTGTGGGAGAACCGGCGGGCTTCTTGGCCTTGCCGCCCAAGCCAGCCACCACTGTTCAGGGATGCACGTGCAAGACGACTTGGTCGTTCGAGCCGTGGGATCTCGGGGGCAAGAGGGTCATCTACAACGGATGTGTTGATATCGACAGCCCGGGCACGGCATGGTGCGCGGTTGAAGGAGATTGCGGTACGACGTCCGCAGACCCCAAGGCAGGAACCAAGTCCGGGCAGTATGGATGGACGCACTGGGACATTTGCGATGACAAGTATCAGCCCACGGAGCTGGTGGCTGACTTGAGCAAGGGCATTGTGCCCCACCCTTTGCCTTTCGTCCGCACGGAGAGTGGCTGCTCCTGCATGTTCCCCTTCAAGATCGCCAACGCGGAAACCAACCACGAGGTGAAGGAGTTCAACACCTGCCAGAGGTTCGGCATGCATGCGGCTTGGTGCCCCGTGAATGAGCAGAGCTGCGGCAAGAAGAGCGACTTGCCGCAGGCGTACAAGGGGCCGGGAGGCTTCGGGTGGTCGAGGTGGGACAAGTGCATCGGAGAGCCTGCTGGTTTCCTGGCTCCCCTCAAGCCCAAGTTGATGACCCGCCAGGGCTGCGTGTGCAAGCAGCCGTGGGTGTTCCAGCCCTCGAGCCTCGCTGGACAGGAGGTGACGTACTTGGGCTGCACTGATATCGGCAGCCCCAACCAGGCCTGGTGCGCCATCGACCCTGTGGAGTCGCCCAACTGCGGCATCCAGAGTAACGACCCCCGCGCTAAACTGACGCCGAGGGGGTACGGGTGGGACCACTGGGACTACTGCATGGAGCAGGTGGAGTCGCACGAGCAGGGAGTGATGCCCTACCCCTCCCAGTCCGTCAGCACGTTGCAAGGCTGCAAGTGTAAGATGCCCTACACCATCACCCCCCCGGGCCTCGGCTACTCCGTTACCCTCACCACCTGCACCCGCTATGGCCAGACCAAGAGCGGCATGGAGAACTTCTGGTGGTGCCCGGTGGAGGAGTCGACGTGCGGCTACACGGGCAAGACGGCATCGGGGGAGACGATGCAGTGGGACAAGTGCGTCGGAGATCCTCCGGGATGGTTGGAGCCGGAGCCTGTGAAGACTGTCGACGGGTGCGAGTGCCTGCTCCCCTTCGAGTACTCCCCGCCTGTATTCGGCCAGAGCAGCAACCGTATCGTCTACACGTCCTGCACGGACATCTCAAGCAGCAAGGGAGGCGCCTGGTGCGCTACCAAGGGAGCCTGCGGGAAGAAGAGCAACAGCAAGATGGCGCACACGGGACCCGGAGGGTTCGGATGGACTCACTGGGACATCTGCAAGGAGCAGCCGGAGAAGGTCTGGCTTCCTCCTTCCCTCGTCCTCCTCTCTCCTTGCTACTCTTCCCCTTTTCTTTCCTCTTCCCCTTTCTCTTCCTGATCCCCTTCCTCTTCCTCTTCCTCTTCCTCTTCCTCTTCCTCTTCCTCTTCCTCTTCCTCTCTCTACTTCCATTCTCCATTCTTCACTTCACCCATTTCGTCATCCTCTTTCTCCTCTCCTCGACCACCAACTTGCACCTCTCACTCCGTGCTCAGAGGCCGCTCATAGCTGGCACCGACCAGCCGCAGCTGCCCGACGTCATCCCCAAGGTTCGCACGCAGAATGGCTGCACGTGCCGCCTGCCCTTCAAGTACGCTCCTTCCGAGCTGTGCAAGGTGAAGCCGCTGAAGGACTCGGCGTGCCAGCTGGAGGGAGGATACATGCAGCAGGGATGGTGCGTCATCTGCGATGACAAGACATACACGGAATGCACGAGGGCGGATCAGGACGCAGCATGGTGCGCGGTGGAGGGGTCTTGCGGCACCAAGGTAGACGTGCCCTGGGAAAGGAAAGAATTTCTGACCTCTTCCTCTGCTCTTCCTGCTCCGTAGAGTCAAGACGCTAAAGCGATCAACGGCCAGTATGGTTGGACACACTGGGATCTCTGCATTGGCCAGCCTGCTGGATTTCTGCCAGTCCGATCGGTTGTAGTGAAGGTGAGAGGAGGAGGTCGAGGAGGGTGGGGCAGGGCGAAGAGTTGAGGCGGGCAACAGGACCAGCGAAGCTCCTTGTCGCAGCAGCATGCATCCACGGTCACCGTAGAGAAGGTCGTGATGAAACACGGGCACAAGGCCATCGAGCGTGTAGCTGAGGTAAAGAATGCTCTCTTCCCTCCCCTCTCCTGCCTCCTGCTTTTCGTTGCTGCCATCCTCTTTCCTCCCCTTGTCCTTCTCCAACGAGCCTCCCTCATCTCGCCGTGCTCTTGTCGTCCTCCTTTCCTTCTCCTCCATCCTTTCGCCCCATTCGCTCGCTCAATCGTCTCTGCAGCAGGGGCCCATTGGGCATGAGAAAGTTGCGGCAAAGGGTCAGAAGAGACGGGGAAGAGATCAGGTGAGGAAGAGGAGGAAGTGTTAGAGGTGCTTGGTGGGGTGGTGGGGACGGTGGGGAGCAAGACGAGTGATGTTCCCTTCAGGAGATGAAGCAGCTCGAAGACGAGATGAGATCATCCCTACACACGTTAAATAAGAAGCTTCAGCAGCTCGACGAGGTTCGCCTCATCTTCCCCCTCCCCCTTTCTTCTTTCTTCCCCCTCCTCTTCTTTTGCCTCACCTCCTCTTTCTTCTTTCCCTCCCTCTCCTCTTGCTCTCCTTCATCGTCTAGTGCTGCTCTCATGCCATGTCCTCCTCGAAGTCTACTTGACTTGCTCCGCAGGAATCCGCTGCCTCGTCCTCCTCACCTCTCCTCGCCATGGCGACTTTGTGTAACCTTGTGGTGATTTCCTTCCTTCTCCTTAATCACTGAGCGAGCTTGAATTGCAACGAATTCAAAATTTACAGCACATTCATGATCCGTGACATTCCCCTCGTCCTCCTCCTCCTCCTCCTCCTCCTCCCCCACTCTCTCATGGTCCCTCCTCGCTACACTACATTCTTATTCAAGGCAGGAGAGCCTGTCGCTCAACATCCTTGGTCGTCCTCAGCCGCATGACGACCAGCGCAGCTCCCATCACAACCTGAAGTTTCCGAGTAAGCGAATGATCGTACGAACCAACATCACCTCCATCCTCCTCCTGCCTTGCTCTCCCACCCCTTTCATCCGCCTCCTCCCCCTTCCTCCCCCCGCTCACCATAGTGATGAAACCAACGGCAACGCCAGTCACCACCAGGTCCCTCTTCTCACTGCAGCTCGTCAGTCTCTACCGCATCCTCTCCCTCCCTTCACCTCCCGCTCGCCATCCGGAGGCTTCCTCCGCTGTAAAGAGAAGTTTCCGCCAGAGTGGTCGAGGTCGTCGCCAGTTGCTCGCAGACGATATCTAGCGCTCAGTTTTACAACCTTGCCTCCTCATTACCCCCGTCTCTTCTCCCTCCTTCCCTCTTTTCCTTCTCCTTCCTCCATCCCTTCGCTTCTTCCCTCCTCCTCTCCCCTCCCTCCTCTCCACTCCCTCCCTCCCTTCTCTCCTTCCCCATTGCTGCTCCTTCCACCTGAGAAGTTGGATGGGAGTCCGAGCACGTGCTTCTTGCCGTTGAGCACAAACGTTGGGGTGATGTCGATCCCCTGCCGTCTTCGTCACTCCCACGAGTTTCTTTGCCTCCTCCTCACCATCCAGCTCGCGTATCCATAAGAAGTTGCGACAAGAGTCTCACCCTTCAGCACATTATCAGTTCCTCACCTTCCACACCCTCCCCTTCCCCCCCTCCCTTCTGCTCTATCTCCTGCTCCTCCTCAGACTTTTACCTCCATGTTGGCGCAGGAAACCAGCAGGTCGAGGTCCATGTTGTGCTGTACCACACTCATCATCTTGTCTCCTCCCGTTCCTCTCCCTCACCTTCTTTGCACATTCAGGTGCTCGAATAGGAATCACGGAAACATTCTCGTCCATGCAGTGGAAGAACTTGACGTACTCATAGTTCTACAAATCCAAGTAAGAAATCCTCCACCGCCGCCGCCGCCACCACCACCACCACCTCTTCCTCCGTTGACCCTTCCTCCTCCTTCTCCTCTGACCCTTCCTCCTCCTTCTCCTCTGACCCTTCCTCCTTCTCCTCGTCCTCCTCTGACCCCTCTACCTCCGACCCCTCCTCCTTCTCGTCCTCATCTGACCTTTGCATAATGCTGCCTTGCACAGAGCTCAAGTCTCTCGCCAACAAGCTCTGCCAGATCGTTAGGGAGCAAACAGGTGGGAAAGAAGCAGAGCAAGAGAGACGGAGGGAAACAAGAAGATGCCAGGAGTGAAGCGTTTGATGAAAGTCGAGGTTGAGAGTCACCAGATGGTCCGTGAATGGCCTTAAGCCACGGCTGCTCCCAAGTTCCATTGTTGAGACCAACCTGTTACATTCGTCATTGTCACCACCATCATCATTTCATCATCATCATCATCAACAACAACAACAACAACAACATTTAAAATCGTCATCGACAACAACAACAATATCATCATCATCAACATCTCCACTCCCTCGCACGTGTCCCTTCTCACCATGTGCACATTGAAGTCCAATCTCGCCGTCAATTCTTGCCCCTGGTACGAGCAAGTGTAGTCGCACTTGATCGAATCCGCGATCTTCTCCATCGCCTTGGCGCACCATGGGCACTTGCCCATGATGTACATCTGCCGACAGGTCACGGGACCCTCCGCTTTCACACCTCGTCCCTTTCTACCTCCATCTTGAGCACCTTCTGACCCTCCTTGGGCGGATCGCAGGCAGCTGAAGGCGCAACGGTCAGGACCCGTCAAGAGGGATCGACAGGAGCAGCACCAGGGGAGTCGTCCTTGAGAGGCTGATCGATGCCTCCCTCGATCTGTTTGCAAGCAGACAACATCAGCTTGCAGCATGAGATCGCTCCAAGGGTTCACCTTCCACCTCGACTCGACATCAGCGATCACTTCGAAGCGTGTGTCCTTGTCCTGGTGCGTCACGTCAACCCCGGGACTGCACAAGACGCTCGCTCGCGGACCAGACAAGTCTCAGTCTTCGTCGGGCAGATCTTGAGCTTCATCTGATCTTCTTCCGCGTGAGGTGAGGGGATCAAGAACTGGCATGATAGCTGTGAGCGAAGGAACGACAGGAGGAGAAAGTGAAGAGGGAAGAGAGAACATGGGGAGCGGACAAGGGCAGGGAACGGGTGTGCTGGAAGACTTGAATCTTGCAGCAATGGAGGGAGGAGGATAAAGACTTCGGTTATCGACTGTTGGATCAGGAGTGGACCTGAGAAACATTGAAGTGCATGTCCTTGGGGTACATGGTGCGATCAGGCCATTCGTCACGGTTGATGCCGTCAGCGGTGACGATGTTGTGAACTGAGAACAAAACACGCGTGAGGGCCATCCTTGCAAGATGACGGCAGCAGCTCACTTTTCCAGGAGAACATGATAGCATCGTGCTTGCTCTTGATATCCTCATGCTGTTTGCAACAACGTCAGCGGCAAGGAAAACGGCATCGAGCAAGCTGATTTTGCCTCCTTCTGCAGAACAGCGTCGGGATAGAACAGCCTGAAGTGTCCTCTACGGCGAGCACAAGTCAAACAGGCGGGACACCCTCCAACATGTCAAAAACACCTGCAGACAGGGCAGGGGAAGATATGATAGACAGCGTCGAATAGCGACTTAAAGGCCTCGATTTGCTGGGTTGTTGGGTTGTGCGGAAGGTACACGGAGGTTGTATGCAGGTACTGTCATCTCCAGGGTCAGCGCGGTTCGAGCAAGGAAGTTGCATGTACAGTCCAGAACGCACGGCCCAACATGGTTCGGTCAGGAGGGAGGTTGAGCAAGTCTCTCTGGGACCAATGCTTGTTGATAAGGCCGTCTGTCGCCTTCCATCGCTGCGAAAACAGATGAGACGAGCACCAAGATGAGCATTGGAAGAGACTGACAGAAGTGAGAGCGTCAATGATCTGCTTCTTCATCGCGATGTTGAGATTCTGCATTTAAGCGTGCATTACCATCTATCACAAGATAAGCTCCGCATACCTCCAGCTGCACGTGGTTGCTGTCCGGCTTGTTAAGGAGGTCAAACATAGACGGCTTGATCCCTGAGCTTGGCGTCAACGAGCGACATGTGAATGTTCGCCATCTCAACGCACCCAAGGCCTCTGGAAACGGAACAGCATCGGGCTTGACAGCAGCAGTGACGGCATTGTGAACTGCAAACGTCGCTGGTGGTGAGCAGGAGTTCGAAATAAGATCTCGACATCACGTTTCCATGCCACGAGCATGCCGTCCTCCCTGTTCTTAATGCTCTGAATCTCCTTCTTAAACACATCGTTGTTCAAGATCTCGTTGACGATCTCCCCTCCCTGGGAGGAAAGAATCAATCCATCCACATGCGTCTACACCAGCTCTTGCTAACCTTCCCAGGGTAGAGTGACCCTGCTGAGTTGATCAAGTTCTGGAACATCTTGACCTGTAGCAGAGGCGTCATGCGTTCTTCTCGACCCATGTGCTTCATCGTCACCTCCACGTCCCCCATGGTGTCTGGAAGATACACAGCAAAGGTATGGAACACGGTCCATGTTGCCCGACCAAGAACCTTCATCGGATCATCAATCGTGTTCATTTCCCCATTTCGAGGCGTTCAATACTCGGTACAAGAGCACACACCTGCTGGCTCGGAGGACGGTTCGAGTCGTCGAAGGACGGCTTGACTCCGTACGTCCCACAGATGGCGTCGCCACAGAGTTCGGTCTCTAGAGCTGTTGCAAGCCCTGCAAGGGAGAAAGATTAGATGATGCTGATGATGCTGATGATGATGGTGATGATGATGATGATGATGATGATGATGATGATTAGTGAGTGAGTGAGTGAGATAGATAATACTCAAGGTACAGAAACTAATTGATCGTGGTAGAGGTGGGGGTGGAGGTAGAGGGAAAATGGAGGAGGAGGCGGGAATAGAGATGGAGATGGAGATAGAGATAGAGATAGACAGAGATATATCAGTTCGTGAACAACGCAACCGGCAAACAGCAGACTGCTTCCAACATACCACGACACGTCACCGGAACAATTTCAGTCCCACCATACCCCACACAAGTAAAACCATCAAGACGCAACCAGCTCCCCAGCAAATGCAGCAATAATAACGAAGGGATCATGAATTCCTCCTCTTCTCTCATCCTCACCTAATACCATCGCCACCATGGCCAGCGCCATGCGCCTCCTGGCTACCATTTTTGCGCTATTTCCGGTCCAAAGGATGATTTGAACCTTAATGCTGAAAATCTCCTCTAAAAGTTAGAATTACACCTTGGCGCTACTGAAATTCAGCTTTTAATTTTGATTGTACAATTTGGAATCTCAGGCGGGAATTTGACTGCCACGTTTCATCAGCTGCCCGTTCAGTGACACCGTCATCATCCCGCCGCCGGGCACCGAACGGTCCACTAGTTGAGTAAAGGTGGTGACCGTGTCCGGGACTCGGCCGGCCCTCCGGGCGGCCACCGGGCGTGACTCGGTGATCCGGGCCAGCGAGCCCGGGCTTGAACATTCCGGGTCGGCCCTGTACTGAGTGGGCTTGCACGTGGTTCATAGTTACTGGCCCGGTCAGTCCGATCTTCAGTAAGTCAGAGGAGCCGCAGCGTGCACCGCCGTGTAACTTAAATCCGATCCGGCGACAACCTAGAGGCTTGTTGCTGAGGGCCCCGCGTCGAAATTCTTTTTGAACGGATCCTCGTCAACAGCCTTGAAGTCACGGATGATTCTGATGTCCGAGCCTGAGGCTTCCTGAAAGTCTCAATGCATCATCAGTCCGAGTGACGGTCCTTGTCCTCCCACAGTTCTGCCAGGATCGATTTTCCGAGTTCGGCCTGAAGGCCTCAAGTATGACATCAGGACGCCTGTTTGGGTTCTGCTTTGACACACTCTGCTCTCCTCTCACGTTACGCAAACCCATCAGGCTGAATCAGACTTGAACTTTCTCACTTTCTTTCAAGAGCTTCAACGGTTAGCAGACTCAGAGCCTTGGTATCCGGCAATGCTCTACTGTTGCAGGGACAACCATTGACAAAGCATGATTCTTGTGCTGCCATCTATGAGGTCCTCAAGGCTCGTGGCAGCCAGAGGATCAGTCTCAGAGCTCAGTGATCTTTCGTCCTCCTAGGAAAACTCGATGATCTTGTGAAAAGGGCCTTCGCAAGTTTAATATCTCCTGCAAAAGACAGTGCTCCCGTGTTATAGCTTTTGTTTCACACCACTCTCCAGCTTAAGGTGCGGGTGATGTATACGAGTATGAGTATGGATCAGCGAGGGAGAGTCGAAGAAGGACTGGATCGTGAGCGAGAAAGGAGCGAGAAATGGGGGCGGCGGGTGTTAGTAGAGGCGGTTCTTCGGCAGCGTCATGGGATGCTTGTAAGACCTGCATGTCAAAGCCAGAAACCGCGAGGTCGGCCCAACCATCTGACTCCGATAGGAAGCGCAAGGACCATCCGGCTCCGAGAGGAATCGAACAGTATCAGTATTCCAGACTCAAAAGCTATCAAACATTTCTCCGAATCTAGCCTGGTACTGGTGTTGAAATCGATCTCCACTGCTGATTGTGGGTTGCTCTCTTGCTTTGAAGTGCGTCTCAAAGGACTTCCTGAAAGTCTCGATATCGACCTGCTCAGACAAGTCAGGGTCTCATCTCCTGCATGCCTTGTCCTCCCACTGTACCTGATCGATTTCTGACTGCTTCCTCGCCTGCGCGATAGACGCCTTGAGACATTCAAGATTCCTGGCGTCGGGCAACACTTTCCGCAGGTTTTGCTCGATGTCCTGGAGCGTAACCTTGCCCTTGTGGTACGAGGGAAAGCGCCTGAAGGCCTCGAGCATGACATCTGGTGCCTTGTCGGAAGCCGGCTTTGATTCACTTGTTTTATTCTCACGTTGCTCATTATGATTGACAACCACATTGAAACTCCTTTGCGCTGCTTGATGCTCGGGAGGGTCTTTGAATCGAATGTTCTTTCTGGATATATTGTCCTGGTCATGTCTTGGAGACACGCGGCCGCCGCGCTGAAATCCTTGTTCGGGTGAGTAGAGGATGGGCTTGAGAGACCCTCTGACGTTCTTCTGGTGCACGATCCTCATCTTCTGCTGGGCCTCGGGTGGATCTGTGCAGCAGAGGTATGACTCTGCCATTCCCATGCCTCCTCAAGCGTTAGAGAACTTGGAGGTGGGTGTGGGTATGGATACAGGAAAGGCTGGATGAAAACAACAAGGCTAGATGCCGCGCCTGGCAAACGTTGTTTCCCCGATCGGGAGGACTGAGACTGGAAGATCGGGAGGACTGAGATCGCCTCGGCAAGTTGACTGCGGCTCCTCGAGCTAGCAGGAGCAACACGTGGGAGGGAGATGGATGCTGAGGACGACTCTTTCGCCAGCAGCGTCCCTTCTTCAAGGAGCCATGCCTGGGAGGTGGATGCTTCGAGCAACAGGGAAGTAAGAAGGATAGTACGGGAGTTCGGATCCCTACAGTACCGGAAGCTTCGGAGTCGGTACTTCGGAAGTAAACATTCAGTACTGATGTCTGCGGATATTTGTACAGGATTTCAACTCAACTGTATAAATCCATTAAAAGTTTAGTTACATCTGATGAGTTTGTATCATAACGAAGTACCTTGACTAAAAGTAGTACCAGTACCGACTGTTTGTCCTCGTACTGACTTTTAACTTAACTTTGAGTAAATGTGATATCATATCCGGCCCGGCCGGCGGCCGGGCCGCGGCACTATGCCTGGGCAGTGGCTGGCTGTATCTGAGCGAAAACCTCCTTTTACATTCGGCTGACTGTAACAATTTTAGATCTTTTAGATAGTTTTGCCCCACGGAAATTTATTAGTCATTTCCACAGTTGAGATGCTAATACAAGATCAAGTCGGCCTCAGACGTTTTGAAAGCCTTGATCACAGGGCACTAATTCCATACAACCTTGCTGGTTCCCTGCCCCCGCTGTAGTCGATCGGATCCATCCGAAGTCGATGACTGTCAGCAGTCATGTTAGGTGCTAAACTGAAGACATGACTGCTCCAATACGATTGGCTTTCATACTTTACTTGGACACACCATCGCAAGGTACCCCTCTTATTCCATGGAAAAGAACGGGTGGTGGATGATGGGGTAAAGTGCTTCATGACTGCTGACATCATATTCATGAAATCGATCGTTTTGGAATACAATTGTGTCGTTGGACACCCCTTGTGTGAACTTCTTTCGAAGGGTAGGTGCTGTGTGATGACAGTAGTAAAGATAAAAATCGTCATCAAGTGAGGCAAAGACTGTCATCATTTCATTAGATTTGTCCAATCGTTTCGATTTTGCCACTCCGAGACGCAGGCGGATAAAAGGAGGAAGGGGACAGGCGGTAAGGCGAGACCGAGGAATCTACCAGCATCGTCAGGAGGGAGCACGGAGCAAATTAGAAGCAACAGGAAACAAAAGGGATCGCCTTTCTTGAGTTAGATCAAGTCTAAACACCAAACTGAGACCAATCGTGAATTTTTGGCATTGCCGCAATGGAAAAAACGCGCGTCGATAGCGTTCCCGCGAGATGTCCATCATCTCCAACCAATCAAAGGGCCATGAAGAAACTCAAAGTAGCAGACCTATATTTCTTCATTGAGCTCAGAAAAACCATCGGAGAGGAATCGAGCAAGAAATGGTTAACCGATCAAATGCGGCCTGACGTCACGAAAGTGACCCACACACCCTCGAGGACGACGTCATCCTCGTCAACCGCAACCCAGGAGTACTCCAGCGTCAGAGGAAGCTCTGACTGCAGAAGTGTCACGCTTACCCTACCAGAGCCAAGTGCAGCTTATACCACAAAAGACATGCTCATCGCTGGCCTAGTACAGAGAGTGTTCAATCTTGGGAAGTATGTGCAGGCGATCCTTAGCAGATTCGTTCTTCGGTTTTCAAAAATATGCAGGTTGACGTTTGAAAGAAACAAAGACACCAGCGACTTTGAGGATCGCAAGAAACAATACAGGAAGAGGCGAAGCATTTCTCGTGACTTCTTGTTGTACACCGATGCTGCCCACCTACTGTTCGATAGCTGAGTGCACAGTAGGTGATTTGTAAAATAAATTTCTCTTTCAGCGCTTTGTTAGACCATGTTTTGTGATTGTACAGTGCTCTGGTGGAATCAGAGCCGAAGGTAGGCGGATTGACTCTCAACTGTCATGCCGCGCGGCTGGCGGGCCGCACTAACCTTGAACCATCATGGCATCATCCGCAACTGCCAGTGGCGGCATACTGAGCCGCTGACTATGAGCAAGGATGCCAGGATGCTCGGAGTCTGCCTGACAGTGTGAGTGACTCTGAATGGCAGGTAAAAATGCGCGGCAGGCCGAACGGCGGCAAGAGCACTGAAGGGACTCCGGGAGGGCCCGCCAGCACGGCCCGGCCGCCCGATCCGAACTTCACTCAGGACTGACTTGAAATTTTCCACCCCTCCCACTCGCTTTTAAGTGTAGGCGGGAAAATCTGGGGGTGGGGTAGGACTTCAATGGGTATAGATGGCAGTAGGGGTAATTTGGTATGGATCTGAATGGGTAGGGGTGGTTACGCTGTTCCGCAGCAGTATGAAGGCAAACTGCAATGCACTTGGTTGAGAGGACAGGTCAGGTCAGGACAGGACAGGACAGGACGGGAGAGGACAGGACAGGACAGGAAAGGACAGGACAAGACGGGACAGGACAGGACGGGACAGGTCAGGTCAGGTCAGGTCAGGACAGGAAAATATACGAGTGAAGGGGAGCGAGGGAATGAAGGGGAGGGGAGCTGGTGAGGGGAAAGAGGGGAAGAGAAGGGCAAAGGCAAGGAAAAGGGCCAGGATAAGGGGGCTGGTAGGGGAAGGGGAAGGGAATGAAGAGATGTTCAGGAATGGAACACACAGCACAGCACAGCACAGCGAACAGGAAGCAGAGAGGTCGGTGGAGTGAGATAGCGAGGCCACGAGGTGCTGCGCCAGGATGGAGATGGAGGCCAGCGAGGTCAAGACAGCATGGTGTGTGCAGAGAGATGCCATGAGGGCTGAGGGAACTCGCAGAAAAAAAGCTCCCGATCTTGGCTTGTGCTCATTGCATTTCATTCAGGATCTTCGAAACTACCACGATGAGATGTTGCCCCTCAGCAGCTTCCCACTAGGTGAGCCCTCATCGTCCCCGAGTCGCATGCTGGGCTTCAGCCCTGACTGACTGGATTCTTGCCACCAGAGGCTCCACAACACTCTCATCTCAGGTATGGCTCTCTCCTCCCTCTCCTCTGTGCCCGCGGTCGTTGACCGACGGTTTCGCCAGCTCTTTCCGACCTGTCTGCAAGCCAGGTACGTGTCCTAGTCCTAGTCTGAGCAGGGCGAAAACGTCTCACAAGGCAGCAGCTTTTTCAAGCTCCTGCAACAGAGTCTTCGTCAAGGCCCCCGTGCCTGACTTGGCCCGCCAGCCCCCCAGTTGCTCCTTCCCTCTCACAGGTAAACGCAGAGTCTTGTCGCTGTCTTTGACTGTTTGATCCGAGCGCAGCCTTGGACGCTAGAGGTGATAAACAGCGCGACTACTGCCGCATGACCTTTCCCCACTCAGTCTCACAAGTGCAAATGCGATCGAGGTAACAGACTCCCTGTTTCAAGATTCGGATGCTGATCTGTCGATGTTGTAGACAAGGTCGTAATCTGAACAGCAGCAAGGTTTGTGCAGCAAGTCTGAGAGTGTTTTAGTGACATGTTCGCGATCATGGCAGAAAGACGCTTCTACAGCTCTTCAAGGCACTGAAGACAACAACAAACAGGAGGGAGAAACGAGTAGCATGGTGCTGGAAGATTTCACATGCAGTGTTAAGATAATCATTCTTCTATTGCAGTGGAAGTGGGCCAAGGACAAGCACTTGTGGAACTTGCCCAACGTCCTGACGATGGTGAGGGGAGGTGGAGGTTTCACCCAAGTGACCTGCAAGACAAGGCGAGAGTTTTGATGATACCCCTCATGGTTGCCTTTCTCGTGTCGTCGTACCCGGTATGTCCTCTCAGCCCATAGAAGGTTTAGCGCTGATCGTGCCGGCCAGGGTCGCAACGTCGTCGCCTCGGTCATCTTTGCTGTCGCATCCCTGACGGATCTGGTGGACGGGTGAGGAAGAAGGAGAAAGTGCGTCTCCTCTCTGTTGATAGGTAGAGCAGGTACCTGGCGAGGAGATGGAAAATTTCGTCCAACTTCGGCGCTTTCCTCGATCCCGTAGCTGATAAGGCAAGTCAATGACGACAAGTCTCCTCATGACCTGACGAGTCTGATCCAGCTCATGGTCGCCACTGCCCTCGTCTTCCTCTCGGCGGTGAGAGGACTCTGCACAGGCCTCGAGCTCGTGGGATCATGTTCGTGTCCCAGGGTTATAGCCGGGTGGGAGGAGGAGTCGCAGTCGCTTCCGCCATCACCATCTGCAGAGAGATCGCCGTGTCTGCTCTGAGAGAGTGGATGGCACAGGTAGCGGCGTGCTCATGTACCTCGGCGTCCCCTCAGATTCCCCCGCAGGAGGGCAAGAGAGCTGAAGTACAAGTGGGGAACCTCGGCAAGTGGAAGACAGCGATCCAGGTTCTGCACTGCTACCTCCAGAGCGACTCCCTCCCCTCCCATCTCCTCCTCTCCCACCTCCTACTGTCCTCCCACCTCCTCAGCACCCATCTCCCCCCCCCCCCTCTCCTCCTCTCTCATCTCCTTCCCTTCCATCTCCTCCTCTCTCATCTCCTCCCCTTCCATCGCCTCCGTTCCCTTACTATCTCCCCTCTTGCACCCTACCCCTTCCCATCTCCTCCTCCTCGCCTCATTCCGCTCATGCAGATGTTCGCAATCACTGGCCTGTTGTTTGTAATGCCGACGGGTAAAACGGGAGAGACGTGCCTCGCGCGTCTGACGTAGTGAGCAGGAGGAGCGAGCGGACTGGGCATACTCTTCTGGACCTCCATACTCCTCCTCTGGGTTTCAACTCTTCTCGCAGTCATTTCCGGTTACTTCTCTCCCTCCCATGCCAGTCTTTCTTTCCTCCTTCTCCTTTCCTCGTGCTGTCACCTTCCTCCTTCTCCTCCCTGTCGAACGTTATCTTTGCCTCCTCATCGCCCATTGTCCTGTCCCCACTCGTTTTCCTCCTCTTCCTCTCTCTCTCTTTCTCCCGCCCCCCCCCCCCTCCCTCTCCTCTCTCTCTCG